TGGTCGTCTTTGGTGATACAATTGAGAGAATTCCTGGCCATTTCGAAAAACTAGCAGATCCAAACAAATAAGTAGTCTCATTGATCGGATCAGCAAAATTGAAATGCATTCTGAACCAGCAAAACTCACGCCTTTGCTTTAGAATCAGCGGTACTTCAGCGTTACATTTTGTTACTTATTGACACTGTAAGCATCTGCTTATCAATTCCATGATGCGCTGATAAAATAGTAACCAATACGTAAAATTTCAAGCTATAGACTTTATTCGTTTAACACCGAAGTGATCAATATAAAGCTGCTTCAACACCTTCGATCGCAGTGATTCCGGCACAATCACCATCTCTCCAAGCATCAAGCACTCGCATACAATGCACAAAAAACACCAAAGTTAGTAGATTTGCTTCATGTCACCATCAAAACCAGTAGAAAACCAACCATTATTGATGTAGTTTATCGGCTTCTTAATGATAAAGTCGTTCCAAAAGCGATTTCGTAACACTCTGTGTGGTCTCCTAAAATTGAAAAGATAACCACGTCTTTCTCTGCCATAGAGTGTTCCCTGACAAGGCGCATAGCCTACCAAAGTACAGTGTGTCGGCACTGAGTGTCGAAATCACAGCCAAATAGTACCAAGTCCACAGCTGGACGGTGTACATAATCGTCTATAATACAAGATTTTGAAGTAAAAATTGTGAAGAGAGTCTTTCGATCTGTTAGAAGAGTAAATCTTCGACCGTATAAGAACCTGAGGAAATGACTCAAACCAAACACACGAGTAAGCGACTTCTTTTTCTATCCGACTGTACTTCTTTTCTGCTGGAATTAATATGTGTGATGCATGAATAGTAGCTTTTACTTCCGTGCCCGGAAATTGGTGTGAGATGATGGCATCTAGTTTAAAAGCCAGTGTTCACAGTCACAAATATTGACATGAACGGCCCGTAGTGAGCTAGTAATAATTCTGAGCTAATGATAACCATAATAGGTACTGTTCAAGCAGAATAGGAAACAAGTGTAATAAGTTCTTGTAGTTGAAAGCGATTAAGTTCTTCATCAACGTTTGATAATGCTGAATACGGCACTGATCTCTCTGGACGAAAAACAGGTTTAGCCCTAGGATTAAACCGAAGGATATTTTCATAGCAGAGCAGCGATTCAACACAGGCTGGAAAATGGTTGAATACTCCGTTATTAGTGTCTTCGTATATGACTCAGGTTCACGGGGTCGCCTTACCAGATGGCATATGGTACTTAACGGGACATCAGCTAAATGCAGCCTGTAGAATCAAACTTAACCAAATAAATTTGGACCAGCTGACGTTACGTAACATACCCCAAAAGCTTTACAATCTAACTGTCCTAACAAATGCAGATAGCTACCACATACCGTGTGAGAATTCTGTGTTGTCGATCCCAAACGTGGACTGCTCATTTTGACCCAAAACGACCGACAGACAATGGTAGTGTATGATGCTGCAGCTGTTTACAATTTAAACAAATGCCAATCAATAATAAGAGTAATGAATTTTTTCTCACCTGGGTTTTTACTCTGAAAGGACGCAATTAGGCTCAACGAATTTGTTCAGGATTTGGAAAGAGGCTTCTTAATATTTCTGAATCGGTTTAGTTTTCCCTTTGACAGATTCCATATTTTTGACAACTATATTTAAATTCCCTGCAAGGATTTCGTTTGGACAGGCTCGTACAAAACGCCACTCTCCAAAGTGACAGCAAAGAGCTAGAGGACTAGTTATTGTTCGTTGAACTGTACTCAGATGAGATAGGTCAGGAACAACTGGCACACATTTGGCCGGGTTGGATGGTTGCTGGACTACATGAACCTTCCGAAGATCGAAATCACCAAAGTGAACCATCGTAGTATGACGTTAAAGATAATTTAGACGTTGATGTTTATTTGAAATATCAACGACAGTCCGTTTAGTTACTTGGTTCAATCGACACAGTGACCGCGTCCTAATATCAGTAAGCTTCTGTGATTAAAGACTGAAGATGGGGGATTTAAACTGATCTTCAGTCAGGGACTCCAGCCGGAAGCGTCCACTTTTTCGGTTAACAATCGCCATATGCGTAAAAAAGTCAACTTCTTCGTCCATAACCATCGCCAAACATCGACGTGTGATTAAACAGTAAAGAATTATCTACGAGCTATTGGCTTAATGACTGTACAGTGCCTGAGAATGAGAGGTCACGTAGGTTCAGAGCCAAAATCAAGTGGCAGTGCCTATCTAAATCAAATGGACTCAATTTTTGAAGTAGCAATTAAACCTTCTAAATATAACGTTTATTGGAAAAGTCAAGTTTTAATATATCCTAATAACGCCAGAACCACAAGTCAAATGTAACATAATCATCATGATAGCAATGAGATTCGGCAATGCTGTTTGCGATGCCATCAACTGACGGTGCAGTAGTAAGAGTAGATGTACTAGATTGCTAGATAGGCATCGTTTTCGTATCTACCAATGTTTGCATAAGTTCCACCTGATCCTCCAGCAATAACTTCACTTTTGCAGGATACACGCTTGCACCAGCCTCATAGCCACTGGTACGTCTGAAGAGATTACGAGATCTCCTAAAGCGGTGAACTGAACGAAAACCAGCAACAAAACAAGAGGACAGGCTCATTTATTTCAGTGCCCTTAAACCCTACTAACTAAACGGAGGACCAAATTCAGCCGGAAGCACAAACAAACAACTCATGCGTGTATATGCAGCAAAGCTATGTCCTTGGAAAACGTCACAAAATAGCTTACTTAAAGAGAAAACGGATTAGAGATTTATGATTATTCATGGTGGGCAACACAAACTAAATTACAAAAATGAGTGTCTACTAAGTTATTTTTATGGACCTGGCATCCCCGACAATTACCTTACTTACGGTTAAGTTATTTACGGCATTATTTCTATCAGTAAATAAGGTTTATCCGAATGGCTATGATGGTGTCTGGAACTACCTACCCACTATAAATATTGGTGACCTGAAACGTTTTAAATCGCCCAGGGTTTGTTGTGACCTATAGACTTCTTTTTGATAGGCTACGCCAGAGGTTTTGTTTTCAAACCCGTTTGTTTTGACGAAGCCTTAGGAATTACTTGGCAGTAGATTTATATCGATGCACCTTCACGTCATTTGAATTTTTACGTCTTCGGGAGGCTATATTGCAAGGACGGACTTTCGTTTTGCAGCTACAGTGCTCCCTCGAAGGATATATTATCCGCAACCATACAACAAATACGTTTTCCTTAATATTTAAGTCCCACCGCCATTTTCCTGTAAAGAATCCGATCAGCAGCACAAGTACGTGCCAGTGAAAAATCTCTATCATTGCCAATCGTAGAAAATCTGAAAGTTTATTTGTAAATTTAAGAAACAGTTAGATACGTTTGTTTTACAAACTGCATCATAGGGAATTGGAATCCCTAAGGGAGACGGAAAAGAGGACGGCAAAAAAAAACACTGCGTCAGGAATTAGAAGCAAATATGAGAAGGATTGCTCATGACATAGTTGGATGGAGAATGCTGGTGAGCGACCTTTACTCCTCCACGTGGAGTAACAGGCGTAATGAACAAACGAACGATGCCCTGTCCAAATATTTTGTCAACTCCACAACATTATTCTGCATGTCCTTCCCCATAAATGACTTAACCAAATAAGTTTTCCAAACTATAACTAATGTATAAACACAAATAATCTGAAACGCCACTAAGAAGTTGCAAAGTATCAAATTCATCTATTAAATGTAGTTCAGTAGATGAATTGTGCATTCAGGAAAGATCTTGAAGCAACAAAATTGTGAAACGTGGGGATTAGGGAAATTTTCTTCGTCCATAAGATTTCAAAATGAATGCATTTAATCAGAAATTAGCAGTCATCATGGGGAATACTCTAACTAAATCCCATAGCCCTTGATAAAATATATTATTCTGAATATTCGCACGGGAATAAACACATTTTGATATAATGTAGTTACTGATAAACACAGCGATGAAACTGCTGACATTTTAGGAACAATTCTGATACAATAAAAGACAGGAGAAACCATATATCTGCATATCAAGTCTATTTAATGAAAATTATTTCCAACAATAATAATTGGAAATGAAAACATACATTCCATTTTTACACTACACAGCAAACATGTGTGTCAGGAAGTCAGCATACTATCAATAGTTCATTCAAATGATGAAGATTCGCAGATTGAGTGAATACTTGAATATTATTAGATATTCTGAACTAGATTGATTTCTGAAGTTTTTATTGTTAGTCTGGACAACGAGATCAGCATTTACTTCATGTGTAAATGGGCTTCTTGATTATTCCGCGAACTTTAAATTAATTTGCTCTGAAGGCTTTCTTTGTGATTAGCAATCAGTCTTATCGTTTGCCCTTGCATTTAAATTAACTTTCTTGCTCCGTTAAACTCTGGATATATGTCGATTTACTTTTTTGGAATGGACTGATCGATCTGAACACCAAGATGATGACACCTACAACGACAAGTAATCACAAGACCAAAAAAAGTCATGACTTATGGAAAACATAAGAAACCTAATTATATGGTGAGTACTGATCGTGTTGTCCAGGATGACAATGGGAGCTCCGCAATTATATCATCCAGCTCAGAGGATCTAACACTTCTGAAAAATATTTCCTTCGGTCAGAAAACACTTCTGAATCCTTACATGAGTTGTGATTGTCACATATTACAGTGGAAAATGTGTCTAGATACGCCTTAACACAACTTGATATATGTCTCGTATTATTCCAAATCAAAGACATGACTCAAAAATATAAAGTCATCTGATAGTACTTTTTCAGTAAATTTGTTATAAAGCACAAGTCGTGCAATATATTTAGTACAAACCATTGTAATTATAATTTGTTTTTGTAAAAACTTATCTTTTTTAAGAAAATCTGAACAAATAGTCATATATCTTCTTTGTATTAACATTTTCTAACTCCTAACACGTCAGTATTTTTTATTCAAAGGCTCTGTATTCATGCAAATAAAGAAAAATGATACCTTTGGAATGGCTTTATTAATACTTTCATCTAATTCTCAACTTTCAACACTTATCACGAGTTAATTGTTGTACACCATTTATCTTAATATACCACTTTGCATTTACAGAGATTGGTTTACATCTAAATCATTGTGTTAAAATGGATAAAATAAATTGATTCAGTACGACACATTGTCTATCTAGCAGTATCTGCATGTTCAATGATAATAATAATCATTAAAACAAGCAACTATTAGAGTGTTTCAATGCTGAAATGTAAGAATTATCACGTCCAATACTGTTTACACCTTTCTCTTTAGAGAAGCATGAGACAGAGAAAAAACTATAAAAAATTTGCAACAAAAAATACGGAGAAAAAAACAAAAAAGGAAAGTTGAACTATTTTATTCACTGGAAATTATTTTGCTGACCAAGCAATCATTTATTTTCCTATTTATTCATAAAAGTTAAAAGAAAAAGGGAGACAGAGAAGCATCACATCATATCGAAATGAAAACCATTGACTGTTTTTTTTCCTTTGGAAGAAAAACAAAACGAAGCAACGTAACGATTTTTCTAAAAAAGTAGTAATTTTTGTAATAACAGTTTGCTGAGCAAATGCAAATAATATATGCTAAAAATAGCGATAAAAATAATTGTAATAATAATAACAATGACGACGACGATGAAAATTACATTTACAACCAATTTAAAGCATAGAGATATGAACTATACGAATATACATACAGAGGATGAGGGGTGATATGTCGTCTTCCCCCCCCCCCAAAAAAAACCCTGAATACACTGATAAATATAAAAAAAGAAGATTATGTGCGTTAATGTGCTGATACGCAAACACACAATAGAAACAACCAACAAGAAGAAAACAATTAGGATAAGTGACCATGTTTGCCTTTTTCTGTTTCCAATGACAATTAGTCTAATATATTGTATGTTTGCATGCTTTTAGCTTAACGTAGACTAACAAAAAAGGCAGAACTTTTTGGCAAAAAGTGCTTGTAACGTAACATTTTATAACTGTTCAAAATGAAGATGAAACTGATGAAATATAAACTGATATGCATACACATATACGTATACGTGTGCAGATACAATGTCGATGGGAAGATAGTATGATGATAATAACAATGACAATAATAATTATAATAATAATAATTATTATTACTATCATTAAGGATAAGTATGCGAGGATGCATGTGTGTATGAATAGAGGATTGTTGTTCATGTTTACATATTAAATCAACCCAACTGTTTTGTCTGTTTTACAATCAAATTATATTGAGTACGTGCGTTTTTACTAAATTGAAAATTATGATGAAAATAACTAATGAAGATAACTGTTTTAGATATGTTAACAACAACTGAGAGTACTGAGGACATGAATTAAAACACAGAGATACACAAAGAGTTATGGAATAAATGTATCCTGAACAAGATGTAAACAAAATTATGTGATTACGATAACGAAAAAGATGTCAACACATACACACAAGGAATATAAATAACAACTGCCAATGAGAAAGGAAATTATGAGCAAAGGACAACGAACAATTAAAACGAAAAAAGATTGAAAAGAATTTAAGTTGATCTTTTTAAATCAGCGGTTTGTATACCAGCTAAAATACGCTGCCACAAAGCTGGACTACACTTTTGATGACGACGAATACGTGTCAGTAAGTTATTCCAATGTAAACCGCAATCAATAGCGGGCATACTTAAGTGAACGTTATACGCTTTTAAAATTAAATCAACGAATTCATCCCACTCAGCTTGACTTTGTCCAATATACTGAAGTCTTTGATCAATATATTTTTGAAATCTAGGAAATAAAGTGTAATGAAAACAGTTGTAACAAATGATGAATAAATAAATGTTAATATAAGCGAAAACCTAAAAGTACTTGCAACAGTAAGTATTTTCGGGACATTTTTCCATTCATTTAATATGTGAATGCTGGATGTCAGAATATAATTTTTACTTGAGGATATCATTTCAAGCTCTATCCTTGACTTTATTTGTTTTTTCTATCCGGCATTTCGAGATGCACCACAGTAGAAGACATATATATATATATAGTTTTAGATTATTGGAATGAACTCCCTGTAAAAAAGGACGCCCTTAAGAACAGCACTCACCGTCTAAATGAACTGAGAAATGGTCGGAAAATGCTAAACATTGTATTTTTATTGAACACTGAAAGAAGGATAGTTGTCCCCACAAACAAAAATGAATTAAAAAATCAATGAAAAATTTAACAAAAAAGATCAAAAATACGGAAAAAAGCAGTTATTGTCTGTTTACAACAGTTATTCTTTGGTAGGCATATTTAGTTGTTGAACGATAAAGGCACACACAATTATAAAGTATTAGATTATAGATTCAAACCTACTGTGCACTTGATTCAACAACAAAAGATTTTTATTATCACGATGTTTAGTATGTCACGTATTACGGTTCATTAGTGAGTTGCAATTCATGGAATTAAACAGTTAACATTTGATTTTAAAATGTCTTAATTTATATTCATACACTAGATCGTGCAATATGTTTCTTTGATTTAGATGTGATATGATGAATGTAGTAGTAAATACGTTCTAAAAAGACTTGGAAAAAATGCAACAATTGTAATGCTTATTTGTAAAGTCCTCTTAGTAAACATAAACACTAGAGCTCGTGGCAAGAAATCTATTTCAGATAAATTTACGAAGATAACTTGAACCATTAAGAAAAAATTATATTTGTAAAGGCTCAGCCAGTCCAATGTTTTTCTCGGTAATTTGGTTTCAGCGTTTTCTAGAAAATATAACTACCTTGATCTATTTCATATATCTTTCAGTGTTAAACACATACCTTCTCATTAAGATCATTATTCTGTAGGCTAAAACAAAACAATAAGTCTTTGAGCAGCATATGGCTTTTTCTGTTCTAAATGTGCTACTTCACAATAACATACTTTATATATTGATTTCATTTCACCTTCGAATACGTTTTCTTTAAAAAAAAGTACGTTTTAATTGTTCTAACGATTTCCGTTATTGAGTTTTAGGCCCTGATCACAAGGTTAGCAGGTACATGTCAACTATACCATACTAAATGCATACTATTTTGAAACGGTTGCATATTTTAACAGCATATTACAGTTCGCTTCTTTTTAAATATAAGTCTGACTTATATATATATATATATATATATATATATATATATATATATATATATATATATATATGCGCCTACCCTGAGACGCAGTATTAATGATATAGACATGGAACATTCGTTAGTAATCATTTTCTTTGATTAGAGAATATTCTTAAAAAAACAACTTACAATGTGTGTGTATGATTAATCAAATTTTCTATTACATCTCTACCGCTAAATTCAACTGATTTTGGTTTTATTGATTCATCTATTGTGGTGTAACTGTCATGATGAATTCCTAGTGTTCCCGTTGTTGCTGTTGTCATCACTGAATTCAGATACAAGTCATTTTGATGATGATGTGTCAGAGGACTAGGTGTTACTGTATGGGGTGGAGGAGCAGGAACAGGACGAATACAAGACAGTGGGTTGATTGGCCATAAATTTGTCTGCTGATTATAAAAAGGTAATTGATTTAAACCAACATTTAAATTATTTGGTTTATTGTTGGAAAGAATGTACGGACTAGCATTTATATTTGACTCAGAATTTAAATTCATTTGTTTAAAACGACAAATGTTTTCCTGTAATTGTTTAGAACATAAATTCTGTCGTAGTATAGGATAACTGACAGGTCGTACAGACGAATGTGACCAAGATGGATTATTCGGTGGAAGTATTGATGGTGGTATGAAAGAATGATAATTAAACGTGGAATTCATGTTATTGGGATCAGAATGAGGAAAAGGTAAAGAAATCAGAGGATGAACAACATCGTGCAGATTATGGGGATTGGAATTGGTTGTCCAATTAGATGCAGGAATAACAGAGGCCAATGAAGTCGTCCATAACTGATTAGGAATATGAGATTGATTGACAAAATTTTGAGATATATTTGAACAAAAGTTTAAATTTTTATCACTGTTATCAGAAATGCCTCTATTTGGTGAGGAAACATCGATGTAGGTTTGTTGCATATTGGCTAGGCCGCCTCTGCCATTATTAACGCTACAAGATGGTGTATGCGTTTTTGTATATTTTTCAAAATAGTCAATAACTTTCGAAGTGATTTGTTCCATTAACAAAGGACAATTGACACATTGTAAAACTAAATCACAATATTCATTCACAGCCAACGGACCTAAACTACTGGCGACCTGTAGATGGATCAATAAGACAAAAAGACAAAAATACGATTTCAAATACGTTACCTTTTATTTCAAGATCAATGAGATTATATTTAACTCGATTTTCAAGTTCACTACTCTAAATAAGCCTATTTTAAAAGTATAGAAAAAATATCGTTATTAAATTACAACGGTGTTTCTTGAATTACAACGGAGTTAACTAATTCTCTAATTACTTGGTTAAGAATCCTACGTTACATGTGAGAAATAATGATGATACCCGGTTCCGTAAACCCAAGTAGCTAGTACAGAGTTCGAAACAGGGACTAAGAAGCTAAAAGTCGGATGTCTTGACCGACTAACCGCTGCTCTATCAATAATAATCTGAATACATAATAAATAACTTGCTTTAGAAACATTTTCTTTTGCTACCTAATAACTTTTATCGCTTAACCAAGTTACCGTATTGTGCTTACTGCAGAGACCAGTTATGATTAAAAATAATAACAATACAATTCACAATTATCTCTGTTTGAAGCAAAAGTACAACATCGTAGAAAGTCAATTCACAAGTAGTTAGTTGTTTAACATCTGATTAGAGTATAAAACACGTAAAATTATGAAATCATTCAGTTGATAAACAAAATCGTTTTAATCATTCATTCTGTTAATTTCGTGTTTAATGTATTTAACTGGAATTAAGCAAAATCACCAATCATAAAGAGAATTTATCACAGTAAATACAAAGAGTAAATACATTTGATTAAGAAAATCACTTTACACAATACAATAGATACTTGATTGCATTAAGAAATTCTCAACTTAATATTTAATATATAACGAAGTTTCATCATTATTTTCAATTCTAGTATTATTATTATTATTATTATCAAAATCATACGGAATATGTCAAAGAATAATATTTTTTCTGGAAAACACTGAGTAAGTGCTATTCATCTTGTTAGCGAGACATAGATTGGATTATAGCATGCTCCATGCACGATTGCGTTGGTGCACGCTGATTGGCTAATTCTCATTCAATCAGTGCTAGCCTATACTTAGAGAACACTAGAATCTTCTCATGTAAAAACTATAAATATACTAACGTTTCTCCTATTGTGCTTCTTACTTCCATCTAACCTTGTTATTTGGAATATAGTCTCTTTCCTGTTCAGCCGTATTCTGATTTGGGGACTTGTCGAGTGAATTGGTGTCCAAGAATACTAAGCAAAAGGAATAGCTGGGTTGTAATAAGAACTACAACACATCTTTACTCTTATAATCGATATAAATATTGGATAAGATAAAGTACAACATTTCTATAAAGTATTCCAGACTCTGGAATAATTGACCACAATCTCTCTGTGAAATAAAATCAATCAAATCCTTTGTTTACTCCATTGATGCTTACTTCTCGTAAGAAAATACCTTAAATGTTCTTACATCTGTAAGTATATCCCATTCTACAAGTGAGATTATAGGAACTTTAAACGTCCAATCGTTTTTATTACTGAATCCACTAAGTGAACCTCCTTACCTGCTGATACTTTGCAGCTACACCGTCTCTGGTAACCTCAACTAATTTGAATAATATCTAACAGGAATAGTATATCATAAAATAACCTAGCACATGTATTATAGTAGACCTGACTGACCTATTGTAGTAATTACAGCTTTCGCTGTTCCTTGCCCCTGCTTTCGTTTTATTATCTCTAGTTGTAGATGATTATAATCAGTACGTGATGGCACAGGAAATGACCTGAAATCCGCCAATCATACATCAACAAGATGCCTATCTAAAAATAATTAAAATCCCAGCTGAAGCTTTTTATTGCTGTAATTTATTTTATGTATTTATTTCAACACGTAAACATTGGTACAAGAAGGCACCAAATAGATATCCGCCACATAAATCATCCGATTTATGTGAGGGCTAGAATATTGCCCGGGTGCTCAAACCGAAGCAAGTGGTTTTCCTAGAGAGCCACACCTGCAGCTTTTGATCTAAAAGTCGAATCCGCAAGGCCGTGGAGCAACGTCAGGAGATGCAATCTCTTGGTTGGTTCATACGCCATTTATTCCCTCAGGATACTAGGGCTCGTGTGCACTATTGGTCTATAATCAGGGTTTTCAAACACCCTTAGGCGAACTCTCTGTGTCCACCAACCCGGTTAAAGCGCCGGACATTCAGTTTTCGTCCTCTCAATTTCGTAAAAAAAACACCCCCGCCGCGAGATGATAGTGAGTAGGACTTCTCTGGCAGTGGTTGTATGCACGTGACCATGTGAGAACATTTCGAGAGGAAGAGCTGACTGTTCCCACTCTCGGCTGTACCACGGCATTTGGGGTTGATTGTTGTAATATGTGCGAAAACTGTACTATCTAGATAACATTTTGAACCTGAACAATCTAATATCACATATCTGTCCTCTACATTCAATATTACTATATATATCAAGCTGATCATACCTGTAAACTGGCATGAACTCTGTAATTATTATTTCCAGAATATATTATTATTTTATTATTACAGGGATGAATTTCAGTGCAATTTAGGATGCAAATGACAGATAAAGAGGGAAATATCCCAAAAACTATCTCGTGTCTCCATATGACAATAAATCAGCATTGTCATAAACTAAAAGTTATTTACATCACATATGTGCAAAATAGCCTATGGTTAACAGATATAATTACTTAGTTACATACAATATGTGTATATTGGTATGATGGACTAAGAATAGAGAAAAACATACATCTAAAGTCCACAGTATATGTGCACTACATGATTTTGAATTGGTATTAGTATTAGTAGTGGTAGTAGTAGTAGAAGTAGTAGCATTGATCAAATTAAAATCTGAGTTAACATTAGCTGATGATATTCTGACTTGATTCGATGCTCTACAAGGTGATGATGCACCAGGTATAAGAAATAATGATGATGAATTCTCCGATGGTAAACAATTATTTTGATCATTTGTTATTATGGTATTTCGTGTACTAGTTGAAAGCATACAATTACTGTTAGTATTATTAGTATCAGTTTGCATGAAATGTCTACGTTGTGAATGATTTGTTGAATTTCCACGATGGCTTTGTTGCATATGATAATGATGATGCTTTCCTCGCATACTTCTTGATGGCATTGAAACAGTAATAGGATTTTGACGAGTAAAATTTGTATTCACATTAGACTGTAATGTAGATAATAGAAGAAATATACTGAAACAAGAAAAACTAGAATTACTGATCATTTCAATTTATTTAAAGTATTCCATCAAGACAGAAGACAATAAACTATATATTTTTTAAATTCAAATAAAGCCTTAGAAAACTAACGCAAAAGTGAGGGAATGTTTGATAAACATTAAAGGTTCTATAATAGTCCTTGGTTAATCGCCAACCAGTTCCTAACTAAGTTGAGTTTTGTAAATAGCAAGTAAACGTTGATAATATTCACATGAAGATAGTCCGTCTGCAAACTTTTTTTTAAAAAAATCATTGTTACTAAAATGCCTGAAAGTATTAATATTCAGTCATGACTGATTACGACTGAGTAGTAGAGTGGGATCAATTTAATTTATATTGTTCAGTAGTTGCAGGCAATTAGTAGGAAACGCCTTGCAGTCAGTCATTCGGATTTGAATCAATCATCCATATTTACAGTCTGAGACATTGCAAGTGATCACCACTTTTTGAAGGAGTAAGATATTTACAAATGATCTATCATTAATTAGTGTAGCAGCCAATATCATTAAGACCTGACTGAATTCTCTTAACCAAGTTACAATTTATAAGTAAATATCTAAGGAATAATGTTGCATTATAAAACCAGATAATCGAAAATGTCAGCACTGGGGGTTAAAAAGTGGAAAACCCAAAACAAAAAAGAAACGTACTTGGTTAGCTGATATCTTCTTAATGGCACATTTTGCACAGAAAAATGCTCGAATTAAATAAGCTTGTGCTTTCAACTTTAAAGATTGTAATTCACTGACTGTTGATTTCGCTGTAATACTTGACAATTTCTCTTTATTATTATTGTTACTATTCACTGACAAATCACCGGAAGAATTACTATTGTTAGAATATGGATTGTTTTCATCGCCTAATCCATCTGCTACAGATTCAGCTAATCGACAAGAATCACCTTCAGATACAATCGATCCTTGATCAGACATAGATGGATGTACAACAACAGAACTAGAAGCAGTATTTGATGTTGTCAACTGACGAGTTGATGTTAACGCAGATGATATAACTGATGATAGTGAATTGACTGAAATAACTGTACTATCAGATAGTGTATTCAAATTAACATTATTGACATAATTGTTATTAGTACTGTGTATGTTATTATTAGTGTTTATAGGTGCTAATGACGTAACCGGCTCAACGGTTTGATGTTGTTGTTGTTGCTGTACTTGTACTTGTGGCTGAGATGGAGTACCAAGTACGTTACAGACCATGGATTGATGAACAGCTGGTAAGGTCATTGCAGGATTAAAACCGTACAATGATGGTTCCATTGCTTGATCCATTGAATAAGCTTGATACGAATTACAGGCTAAAATTAATTATTTTCAAAAATGGTTAACATATGGTTTTAATATGCAGTAACAACAACGTCAAATTGAAGAATTCTAATGTTTAGAGTTTCTGAGAAATGTATGGATAACTGACTTTATTTAATTATGATTGACTTTCTATCATATTGTTGTCATTTTCTCAAATATGATATCTATTTTATCAGCTTTACTACCTACCTAGTTAGAAAATAAAATGTAAAACGACTAAGCATATTGAAAACTACGGTTATGTTAAGCGTCTAATCAGGAATGGCCAGCTGATTGGTTGAAAACTACCTACTTCAAAAATATACTTAAAAAGTCATTTCGTTTGTACTATATTCCATAAGCTGTCTTATAATACAGCTTACAAGTCGAAGTCTTCAAATAATTCCATGATAATGAAACACCATTACACAACTATAATGATTTAATTGAATCGTCTTATTATTATTACTATTATTGTCAGTTTGATTAAAACGAAGACACATTACTTACGCAGAACGTTAGTCCCAACAGTTGGAGACAGTGAAGTAGATGGATTTATATGATGTGGAATAGTGACAAATGGACCACTTGGAATCATATTCATTGACTGAGAAGATGATGGTGTTGGAAGAGGAGTATTTGGAATAAACTGTGGATGTAAAAAATAATTACTAGGCGATTGTACAGGTCCCATTGGAGGTAGAGATGACATTCCAAATGAGTACGGTACATTAGACTGAATTAATTGCACAAAAAAATGTAAAATTAGTATACACTGATAATAAGAATAGCTTTTTGAGCATGAACAATTTATTAGTGAAATTGTTAAAAGTAATGATAAATGAATAAGTAGCAATGTTCTGGATGGGGAGTTTTTCCAAAGTTTGACTAAATTTGTGAATAAATACACATGGATAGTAACTAATTCCTATTTTGCATGGTAGGTATTCATAGCCCAATATGTTATAATTATGTCAACTTGTAGATAATCTCCAGACCAACACATCAGATATTAGTGCTGATAGATATTAAAAGTAAATATAGGAACTAGAGTTACAAAATGTTTAACTTAAAATGAGAACAAAAAGTCTTGAGGGACAAGACAGCATAACGAATAACAATACCAAAAAGTGAATAACAGGCAAAAAATCATAATAATCAACTAATTAATTCAAGCCTTGATAAAGATCGATCGCTCTTCAGTTCATTCGTTTATGAAATAACGGGCTAAGTAGATCAGATACTCCACAGGAAACATCATTACCGCATAATACACCCGATAGTTAGAAGCTCAAATGCATTCTTCATCAAAAGTTGCCCCCTTCCATCTATCAACTACGGATTAACTGCGCTATACAACAACAGTTAAATTTGATATTATCAATTTCTGGTTCAAATTTCATCGTACGGAATAAAAAATCAAGCATCTATAAAACATACTAATCTAACTTTTTCCATAAACTAAACAAAAATATTTTCTAATAATAAAGAAAATTTCTTACTTGGATCGGTGATATTATATGTTGAGATTGCGGCAAATAATACGGTAAATGATGATGAGGTGGTGGATGAGCAGACTGTTGTCGTTGTGTTGGTGGTTTTGTAGACTGTAATTGTGGGTTATTGTTTTTCAATAAATTATTATTTGTCTGTTGTTGTGATAATGACTGAGGTGTTTGTAAACTGAGCACATTCATATAATAAGGAAATGATGCGTATTGATGTTGTTGTTGACCAAGTGGGAGACCACCATAATTAAAATTCACAGGGGACAACATGGAGGCATTATACATCAATTGATTTGGTTGCTCTTGATGCTGATGATGAGGTTGTTGATCACCTCGTACAATCGGTTGTGGCAATAAATTAACCGACTGATAATAATACCAAGCATTAACTAAATCATTACTGGTTAAATTGATACCATTGCTAGAATTATTATTGTTACTTTTATTATCACTAGTTGCATGGTTCGAATCTGAAACTAATGACATTTCTGTGATAGAATTATTACTATTATTATTAATAGTAGTAGTAGTGATAGCGGTATTGATAGTAGCATTATTCCTAATAGCACTATTATTATTAGTGACACTGCTATTATTATTATTAATATCGTTATTAGTCAATTCCTGAATTGAATTCGTTAAATTAGGATAAACATGAATATTTGAGTCAGATAAAATTGTATTTGTAGTATTATTTTTATTGAACATGGATAAATTCTCGTTATCGTTTCGAATTTTCAATGATGACGGGTTGGAATTATTAAAGGATTCCAATGAATTCAGTGCTTGTTCAAATTCTTTATTGGTTGAATGATATAAAGTATACCAACTTCTTGCTATAAAAAAATATATCTCTGGTAAAATATCATGTGATGATTGATAAGCGCTACGTTCGACGCATAATAAACCACGTTCTAAAGTATTACTTGAATGTTCACCGCATTGTTCTAATGCTCTGTATAATTCTTGTGGTTTTAACGCTGTACATAATGATAAACTGGCAAGACATAACTCTGCAGCAACATCAACAAGCTATGCAAAACAATTTTTTTTTTAAAAAACATGAGTCAATTTAAAACATACTAAGAAGATAAATAAATTATTTTTAGAAAACAAAAATTAGTCCATTATTAAACCACGTAGAATGTAAAGTATTGGTGGTGGTGTTTGGAGGAAACCCTGGACATAACGTTTGAGCTATTTGACACTTGTCAGTAAGGTGTACCTGTAATCTTGGAGGAAACAGTGCTCCCCCGAAGATTCGATTCCGTATAATCCAGCTCAAAAATTAGAGATGTTACTAATCAGCTAGCCGGGTCGCGATCAACCTCTTGTAGAAATGAAATGTATTTACAATTAAATAATCACTGAGTAGTGACTAGTCTCATATATGTCAAGTTGTTTTTAGTGTTCGAATCCTATCGACCAGATTGCAATGTGATTACTAGTCTAAGCGATTCGATATTGTATGTTAGTTGAACTTCTTCGCGTACGACTAACAGGTTGTCCTGTCTGCCATGAACATGATTGTCATGTAATTATTTGAATATTTATTTGAATTGTCCTTCTCATCAAGCTGATTCTCGATTCTAAATTTATTCATATTTTTTTCTAATTACCTGATAAATTGTATCGCCTTTGATGTGTTTACTGATTGACCTGAGTTCCCAGATTCTGAAGATTATATAGTCTTCTTTGTATTTCCTTTGTCCGAAATCTAAACAATTCTTCGGTCAAATTTGTGTCCACAACTGTTCATGTGAATTGATATAAGCGAAGACACATCATAACGTTTGACAGCAAATGGGTGTTCATGCAAAGGAAAATGGAGAGAACGACCACTTTGATGTGTAACTGGAACAGTTTATTTTGTAGGTATTGTTTGTCTTTTCTTCTTATATCATGCTATATTTTCGTTCGCATAAGATTGATTGACGTCCCCTATCATTTTAGATGACATGAACTATTGTCATTACACAATTGTCCAAACAGAAACAGATGAACCACAGTTTTTAACCAACAATTATACAGCAGTTGAAGACTGAGTTTTAACCACTAAGCCAACACATTACTATAGATAACAACTGACCAAAATTTTCTCAAACATAAACTGTACAATTATAAGTATCAATGCTAAGGTTGGACTTCATAGTTTCAAATAAATTGAGTATTGGGTAGAAAGTAAGTGATTATATATATATATATATATATGTTTCGCGACTTAATGTAAGCCACTTTCGTAGGAGTGAAGAAACGTCAGAAATACAAATTTTCTATTCATTGAGATATAGCAAAAAAAATATTTATTTATTTATTATAATCTGTGCATTTTCAATAACGATGAACAAGTAATAAAAAGGCTGAAAATAAAAAGTTAAAAATTATAAAACCAAACTTTTCTGAAAAAAATACCTTTTACAATCTGTTAATCACTATTTATTCGAATAAAACACTAAACTTTATAAGGAAAAAAATTGAAAAATAATCCATATTTCTTACAGAACGATTGTTTGTTCTTGATAATTGAAATGAGATAGCGGTTAGTTCTGCAGCTGTAAGATGTTGTTGCCAAGAATGATATAAAATACAAGCAGCCGGTATACCGATTTCAAATACTTGTTGACTTATCCATCCACCGTTTCTTGAGAATGTACGATTTTGCCAAGAAGGCAAAAGACGATTGAATAAGCCTAAGCCATAAAGTCCTAACTAAAATAATAAAATGAAATTATTTCTTTTTTTAAAAATTCTGTCAAAAATGAAAAACAAAAAAGATATAAAATATCTTAGTAAAGATATATAATTTTCAGTTAATAATTATCTGGACTTAATAGTCTAAGTAGTCAGGTAGGTAAGTTTATGTGTACTGGAGTTCAATCTTACTGTGAACATCAACACAAAAATCCAAATACATACAGCTTACGATGAAAACTTCTAAATTATAAACGCTGTTTTAGAACAGGTGAATTTTACATTGGAAAAAACATAAGGCATAATCCCTCTATAAAAGACAGACTTACTTGAGCATACATTACAATAAATTTATTGAAAACTGAGAAGTTAATTATAAACTTTCACATTCTCCAGAGTAAACTGTAAAGAATCGTACAATGAATATGACTCTCATAACAAAGTTACAACTTTTGACTGAAAAAATATGAACATTCCTATTGCATATTACTATGTAGATTGTTCGAGAAGTTTTATGTACTCGGCTTTGAGAGGCTAGTAATACCATCCAGCTAGCTTCCTAGCAAAACCTGAGTAAGTGGACTAGGAATCAAACATACAACTTGCCAATTGAAAGTTGAGATTTCTAATCATTCAATGATAACCTCTTAGCACTGTAGCACATATTTCTTAACATGTTAATTGTATATTTAATATTTATCAGAGATCTCCAAGTTATTTCGAAACAAGTTAATATCTTTAATAGTTCAAGTAAATTAGTTAACAAATAATGAGACAAATTTAGTTACATAACACTAAAATAAACTAACTTGAAATGATATTAATTGGAGATTACGATGAACAGTATCGTTTGCTTCAGTTTCAGCTACAAACATAGATCCACTGGTACTTGGGCCACCAGCACATTCACGAATTGTTTCAGCTAATTGAAATGCATGAAAAGCCATTGAATCGGATAAAGGTTGTGGTGGTGGACGTTTAAGATGTGAATGCCAACCTATGCGTAAACGATATGGACCTGTTGCAGTAGATAAATTTCTAATAGGAAGAGAACACGTTGAAATTTTTGACGTGAAATTAAATTTTGAATTATTTCTAGATTCATAATTAGATCCTGAATGGATATAAGTATTGTTTGGCTAAAATGACAAAAAGAGAAAGATACCATTATCATCTAAATAAGACATGGAGGCTAAATAAATTTAATTTCATTCAAAAAAAATAGTCCTGATTTAAAACAATTTTTCAGTTGTGTAAACATACGTCTACATCGTACTATTATTTATCTTGAAATTTTGGAAACTGCACTAAGGCAAAGATGACAATCGGGATAAAAGAAGTCGGTGGTTATTGATAATATTCATGATCATAAGTACGCTTAGCTGATGATATTTAATTGGAACATGAAACCTCGGTTCAAGATTTCTCGCCAACTGCCTTCAACCAGTTAACACTTAAAAAACGATGTATACAATGTCACGTCATATAGAATCCATAGAAATTGATCAGCATTAAGAATTAGACATCAACAACCAAGAACAAACTTGTTAAAACAGCCTGTATAAACTACAAAGCATACAAGCTAGAGCAAATGTACAGCAGTTCGAACCCGCTAACCAAAACTGCTAATAGTCGATTAGTTAAATCATTGGTTTACAACATGCTTACTAGTATGTTTCACCTGAACAAACTTACAGAACTATTAAACAACTTCAGAGTTAATCGATAACAATTATCAAACAATAATACAAAAAATAAAAAAATCTACAAATTATAGAACATACCACAGACTGAACGAAATTTGTCCGTAAACTATTATTATTATTATTATTATTTTCATTACTAACTCCCATATTATTAGCAACAGATTGTTTTGTAACTATCTCAGAAGGAATACATTCATTGTCATCATCATCCTCATCGTCATCACCATCATCAACTTCATCATCAGAGAATGAAGAGAAAGGTGATTGTATGACATTGTCATCTACTGTAGAAACTTGTCTAACATTATCACTACGTTGAATATAATCTTTACTTTCATCTGAAATATCAGTTCCGTATAAAGAAATTCTATTATTATTATTATTATTATTATTATTATTATTATTATTATTATTATTATTATTATTATTATTATTATTATTATTATTAATTATCACTGGATCCAATAAAGTCGACGACAATTGTTTGTAACGTTCAGCAATCACTCCACAACCGCCACCACCATCGCTACTTTCTGTTGTTTGAGCTTCGGATGATTTAGCACCAATCAGTATCAAACGACGCGTAACAGCAGGTGAATTATCACTGCTAGTTGTTTCCGGTGCACTAGTAGTAGTATCAGTTGTGTTCAAATGACGCGATATTTTTCTACGAACATCATACAGAGTAGTACAGTGTAAATTATCCAGCTGATTATTGTTGATCAAAAACAAAAAAATTGGAAAATAGAAAGCTATAAATATAATTATCAGTTAATACGATTGCGTGTAAGAGAAAAATAAACCTGATGGAAAAACACTAACAAAAAAACTAAATTTTTTGTTAGATTTGTAGAATGAGTTTTCTACATAAAACAATATATTTTGCATGATCTGTTCGATAAATATTCAAACTAAGCTACCGAATATTAGCAACGACTATTTCCCGTCTTTATGAAAATATACAACACGTACAGTCTCTTGTCACTCTCGATTATCAATCAACTGTCTAAATGTCTATTGATCAAATAAATTTGAGAAAATCACCCGCGCATACACGATTTTTGGCAAAATACTTAAGAGTTATGGAAATTTTTCCGACACAAAGACTTAGCCTCATGCAATTTCATTTTGTTCCCAAAATCCAACATAAGTGGACGGTGAAAGAATTGGAACGATTGGAAACAATTCAGTATTAGATTTAATTAAACTTAAAACGTATGGTCTGTGGCCTATTGAACGAATTTACTGTTGAAAATGCAAAATCCATTATTCAATCATCACATGCTTAAAAAATAATCAACCAACTACTTGTTCTAAATTATCCAATATACGTTAAATCGATAGGAATGAAAAATGGTCTTCAATAATTGTAGTAACACATAAAACAGGCCACGCCTATATATATATATATATATATATATATATATATATATTCTTATTGTATAACTGTTAAGTAACTAGATTATAAATATTTATATTCTTTTTATCATAAGCTTTTATTTGAACTGTTGACTACGATTATACAATTTATTATTCTTGAGTTATTCCCTGCTTCGGCTTAAAAGACCGGGCAGTATCACAGCCCTCCCACAAATCAATGATAACTACCATCGGCCTCATTATTAATAAAACATCGTCACTTGGTAAGTTGTCCTGTATGCGGAAATCTTTCTTGTTTTGCGCATAGAGTTAGTTCAGTAGATAAAATAACTATTTCGCCATCTCAACTACTGTAAAATAATTTTGTAAAATCAATTAAGCCCTTATAATAGTTACATTTGTTTGTATAAAAATATTTAAGTAGTACCGTGGTGTATGCTACTTATGTTATTCGGCATAAACAGTATGTAGCACCCATCGGAAAAGGAAAACCTGGCAGCAGAAGGCTAAGAAGATCAAGTTGAAGATAACAGAAAGGAATTGTCAACTGGAAGAATCATACAAAATGTGAAGGACAAATGATGGAAATTCGAAAATGAAGTATTCAGTGTATGGTCCTCATATTTTAAGACATTCTGGTTGTCCTCACCTGGATTTTCAATTACAACAGTGTGGCTGATTAGGGATTAAAATTCTGTATTGACTAAATTAGGATGCAGTGGAACATTGACTTTACACAATTATGAAAATCAATTAGAGTGATACGTTAATTAACTCAATCAACGTCGTATTACCAACAATCAGTAGAATCCAAACAAACATTATCTACACTGTAGATACATCTTTCTAACGAATCCGAACTAGAATACAATGTATTGTCAGGATTTCTTACAGAATACTATCAACATCTAATATTAAAATATAGAACACCAAGTGTGAAATCACATAGGACGACAGTGACCATAGTGCGATTTGATCGATGAAACTTCATCAGTGCTAATAACTAGACAAAGAAGACGTTGGTTGATATACAGTGAGCAATCACTATACATTAGAAGAAATACGGTAGTCAATATTTTTATTTACCATCAACATGTCTCAGTTTTGTCCAAAGTCATCAATAGATAAACTTTCTGATAAAATACTGAACAAGAGATTTTACTGATGGATAAAATGCATCTACATAAAGACTTATTAATCCTCAGAAGTCTTCCACTCTTAAAAATCGAAAAGAAAACAGAAGGCGTGTTGTATAGAAGAAGCTCAACTTCGAAAGTTGTTATCTACCAAAACCGACGTTATTTTCATGATTTTATATGAGCACTGATTGGTTATCCTAATTTTCCTAGCATTTCTCATAGATTCCGAAAACTATTTTCCGCTGAATTATCGAGAGCTTCTACCATGTTCGCTGAGTTAAACTTTTCACGAAAAACACAAATATGTGTATACTAATTTATCTTATTTCTAAGAAATATTTATATAAACGAAATAATCAAATCTTATGAGCTAACAAAACCTACTTTTGAGTCAGATAAAGTATCTGTATCTTCACTAATCGATAGTGGATCAAACGAACAGAGAGTATTATTATTATTGCCATTATTGGCCGGAGCATATGGTTTATCATTCTCAGATAATTTACCAATATTATCTACATCTGATGAATCTGTTGTATTATTGGAATTAGGACATATATCTGAAAGAAACCACAAAAAGGAAGGGAAAAATATTAATAATAACATAACAGATGGATTGTTGACTTTTATTTGCTTACTTAGAGAATAATGAAAGAGATTATATCATAATCTATCATCATGACTATATAAGCATAATTATTTATCTAGGTCTAGGTATATAAACAGAATGAAGTTGATCAAGCTTTTGAACAATAATAAATAAATAATGAATGTACAGAGTGAAAACAATTTGGTAGGTTATAATATAAATGACCACATTTTTAAGGAGGGAGGAAGGAAGCCACGTAATACGAGTAGTGAATGCATTTTACATGTGAAATGAAAACTATTCAGAGTATGGGATGAGAATATAAATCTATGGACGAGCTGATGAGATTTGAGTAAGCTATCTCAAGGTTGCGGCGAATATCAAAATAGCATATACATACCTTGGGTCGTTATACTGTTGGTCTCAAAGATTTTATAGTTCATTGCCTACAAGAGATGAAATTGTTGAGAGGATTCATTAGTGATTGCAGGGTAGAAATGACTGCTAGGCAATGTGTAGATTATAATGATGGTTGCTGAAGATATTGGATCCTCAGAAATCACTTGATAAACCATTCATTTTTGTAATTTAATTACAGGAACTCGAATTTCTCATTTTCGCGCGAGAAGTACCCATTTTTACCTTCAGTTTGTGTTTACCACCCAGAAGGATCTTAAATGTCATCGGTTCATCTTTCCTTTTAGTACGCTACTTTGTAACATTCTCCAAGAACATTTTTTGTGTTTTATATATACGCATCAGTTGAGTGCTTATTGTTCGCTCTTCCGGGTTGCTTGTGGAACTATACATTTTTCCGGCTGAATCTGGTCTTCTTCCTCTAGTTAGTAGGGATAGGGTGTAGTGGAATAGCTTACACTGTTCTGTTGTTGTGTTGCTAACTTTCGTCCTGTTCGCCGGTCCTAGATGATATCTTAATCCCTCGAACATATCAATTGTAAAGTATTTCAATTAAATGTGTTGGAGGGAACAATAACCATAAATTGGGACATTTTTGTTTATTCCAGGCTAACCTCGAGAATAATTACGTTGATTCTTGTAAACTAGACAATAATGGTACCAGTTACGTTGGCTTTTACTTTTGCTGATGTTATTGTCTCGCCTTGCGGGAGCAAACTCAAGTGGATGAAGTATGGTTAAAACTTGTGATCAGTTAGTCCAAATTCGATTGCACTAATCTCCAAGTTAAAACCTCTTCTCTATAAAAAGTAAACTCTTTCCGAATATCTAAATGGTTCAAATTCTGAATTTGTTTCTGCAAATATATATCATCCATGGTGATGAACATAACGTAATACATATAAACTATCAGCTCTACAGTACTTTTCAAACTTTGGTCAAAACTAGTTTATTATGTTCTAATATTCTTTCAGCGAAAATCCATTTTCTGTTATCAAGTGACTCAATAGAGATGAAGTTCTGTTTTTGCACAACTAATGACGCAGTTATGACCAATCACAGCTGCTTCAGTAAACTAAACAATTTGTAGAAAATAATATTTATTTTCATACTTTACATCATCAGTTAATCTTAGCTAGACCATCAATGGAAACCTGGAAACACTGGACAGATGTTTCGTCCTATTATGGAACTGACTATTAAGAAGTGGCAATTCGCGACCCAGAAACAGGGAATCGAGTCCAGAACCTTCAGTCTTGTGCATGAACGCTTAATCTCCAGACCACTAAGTCGGCATCCAGTGGTGTGTATTTCTAAATTCAATCAATTCACGATATTGTGCGACCATCTTCCATTGCTTGCAGTAGATAACTGTCTCACATCAACACGGTTGAACTCCATTGGTCATGGCTTCTCACTAAAGCACCAGGGACTGTATCTTGAAGCTAGTGACTAAGGAGCACATGACTATTGTCAGTATAGGGTTTTAGCTTGAAGATACAATGTCTAGAGCTCTAGTAAGAAGTCACAATCAATGGCGTTTAGTCGTACAGGGTGTGACAGTTATCAATCGCAGACAATAGATGGTCACGCAATATCGTAAACGACGAATTTCGTAGCTTGTGTATAAGAACCTTCCAGTAAACTGTTCCATAATCAACTACGCATGGATTTTAATTATATATATATATATATATATATTATTCAGCGACTAATGTATGCAGCTGTATGATTTAACATGAAAAGTGATAACCTTAATTTCTTCATAATCCAGTCGTACAATTCAGCGAAAACCACCCGCAGACATCACAACAAAAACCACAATATTCATGGTATTGGGATCCGCATTCGCAAGAGGATCTCAGCATTTTTATGATATACCCAATACTATAATACATTGATGTTATTGATGAATCATAATCCCATACACGAGCACAAATAGGCGAGAAATAATTCAAAAAGTAGCTCAATCCTATACACTAGAAATGAGGATTAAATCAACTAATAATCGCTATTGAGGACAAAATATATTTAAATAAGAAACAATAAAGCTAAAATGGGACAATATGGTTCTGGTAATGAGAATTTTTTAAAAAGAACATCATTTATCACCGACACACACAAATACAAACGTACATACAGACAAAAGGCAAAAACATACCATTTTTGTTCCCTTGATGAACACTACTGCTATTGACGCTATTATCGTCATCAGCCATTTTTTCCACCGTATTATTAGGTTTAATTATTGAAGAATGTTTTTGATCTTCACTAGCATAAGTTAGTAGTGTGTTGTTATCCATTAAATTATTATCATTTAATTTGGAAGTGATTGCGTTGGAAGGTGAAGACAAAATTAATACATCTCGAGTTTTGCTGCTATTATTACCATTCGGTGATAAATTATTTAGTTCAAGTGAGACTGTTGAAGCGACCAGTACACAGGTGTTTTGTGATACATTCAATTTATTTTCAATTTTACTTGTTACCACTACTTCAGGAACTGAATTATAGTCGAGATTTGATGTTTGAAAATTCATTAATTCATGAGATCCCAAACTTAAACAAGCCCATAAAGGCGGAGATTTAAAGTATGGATTATAGTAGCGATCAAGTAAACGTGCACGAATCTGTAATGAGTTAATGTAAAAAGAAAAGAATAACAAATGTTATTATCTTTATTTATTCAAAGAAAGAATTAAATAAATAAAACTGATGGATAATACATCTTCCGTATATTAAAATGCAAACTATATTATAATAATAATTATGATTATTATTACCATTATTGTCATTATTATATGCATAACAATGTTCCAAGAAACATTTTCAAGTAGACGTAGATAAAACTAGTTTGATCTTTTAAATCGATAAAACCAATGAAATGTCAAAAAAAATTAAACCATATTTATCGGAACAGCTGATATCCCCATACTTTATTTAAATTATTAAAAGAATGATTACAAGAAGGCTTTGATCAGTACATTATAAGTTATACATTACAACCAACCAATATAGTATAGTCGCAACACAATGTAGTATATATAAGCAATCTTTGTCTGTACAAGCTTGACTAGTAAACATGTCGCTGGTTTATATTATAACTGTTTCACAATTGATTGATCACTGGGTGGTGATCAATGTCATGCTTGTCTAGTCCTTATGTTATCGATCATGTTGCAATGTGGCCACCAGTCTAGGTGACTCGACACTGCGGGCACTATGTATTGATATTTAGATGGTAGTTGGAGGTAGTCAACAGGAAACCCGGGTCCAGGGTTTCCTGTTGACTACCTCCAACTACCATCTAAATATTATAACTGTTTTTCCAGATTTACGTATGCTGGTCAGTATGTATGTTTATTTCCCAGTTATTTTATTAACTGTTTGATGACTCTATATACATACAGCTTAAACATGGAGTTTGCCAGTAAGCCGATTTCCACGATAAATTCCTATAGTGACTCTAATGGTTTGTCTAAAATATAATATACACGTGACAAGCTTTAAAATACGAGATTAATCCAAGATACATGTATTGCAGATCAGTAAACTACAGAATTACAAGGTGCAATAAAATCAACAGCTTTTAACCACACCCACAGAAAATAGATAAAGGAAATACAACAGCAAATGAACAATGCACAAAACCAACTATAAATACAGATATCATTCAAAGATGACGATGAAGAAAAAGAAACTCCAATGTTAACCATTTCTATTCTAATACAATTGCTAGTAGTTCTACTGCCAGTATACATATAAACCCAATTCAATTACAAGGAGATCTAATTCTAGAATTAATCCAATACTATTATTAAACCAATCCAGTTGTCTTCATTCAACCCCATTGAACTGTGATTGTTCGTTACTACTATACGTACTAGTTGATCTGATTACTTAAGTACATACATTCAGGAACATTCACTACAAGGGTTCTTGCCTAATCCATTCGCCTTCAGTTATCAAGTTAAAAATATGAAGCATAACAGAAACGTTGTAACATAAGCTTGTTTTAAAGGAATAAAAAAAACTATCCAATAAAAATAATTCACAAGAACAACTAAACTCATCAAGAATTGTTTGTAAGATCACTAATCAAAGAAAAAAAATTCATAATACTAGGAATTTAATAGACCGAGTGTATTTAACTTGAGATAAAGAATATTTTGTAGATAGACTAAATTACTGAAAAATGTTTCGAAAGAGGCAGCTTAGAAAACTCAAGGATTAACTTCATTCCATTTCATATAAGTTGAAAGACACGACAATTAAATTAAACAACGGAGTTGCCTAATTGATTTATCAGAATAAAAGTTGGCATTTGAGCTTCACGTAGATGTCATAAAACCATATATTTGAGAGCATGAAAGTAAATGAGAAATGGAGAGTCCCAAAATATTTCTAAAATATTATTTCTGAAGTTAACCAATAAACAATAAATTATTATCATAATCCTAAACTGTGAGTCATTGAGGTGGAAGTGAAGCAAAAACTAGTTTATAAATTAGGTCATTAAAACAACCAATCGAAAAAATGAATACGCAATATTGATGCTGATAATGATAGCTAAAGTGCATTCAGTCTTTGTTTTCCTTTAGAACCGAAGTCCCGGAATTTTCTTACACCTTCTTTTCTTTCTCATACCTAATCTTTTTTACTATTGCTGATATGGTTACTACTACTACTCTGGGATTTATATTGAAATAAATTTATCTCTCCATGCTAATATGGTATAGGAACTTGAATCGACACACATATGTACCAGGTTCTACGTTGTACATAACTGACTGACTGATTCACTAATTGTAAAAATAATTTCCGAAAAAAAATTAACGCTTACTCGATCAAGTTTTGATATATCATCTCGATACATACGAAACAGATATACAGCTAAGGCATCTTCTTGAGCACGTTGACCTTCAATAAAATAAGTGAATAATCTTTCCGGCACACGAGATTTTACACCCAATACTGATAAGACAGATTGTAAACCTAGTTCTCCATCTGATGCTATACGAACATTGATAGGATGATCATTTTTTTCCGATCCTGGCAAATGAGTAGTAGTAGTTCCATTAGTGGAATTATATATGTCCATTGCTAATGGTAGACCACTTCCAGCTAGTACTGCACCAGTTGACAATACTGGATAAGCGAAAAAATTCTCCATTAGTGAAACATTAATATTTGGTGCAACATTTTCTGTATCTTGATGAATGGGTGGGATAAAATTAGCTGATTGTGGTGGTAAATAATTCCCATACGATCGAACTACACCGACCAACTGATGAAATAAATAAGTGGCCAAATTAAATGGGACATGAATATCTATAATATTATTCAATAAAAAAAAACAGTTAGCAAAATTCACGAATACATCGCATAAGATATAAACACTGATTATCCAATAAAAATTAATAATATTTCCTAAATATTGTTCTTTATTACGAAAGTTACGAAGTAACGCACAATGAATAAACAGAATAGAACAACACATGGTAATTAATATCGATATGTAACAGAAAATACTTATAATGAATAAAAAGTGTACAATCAAATCAACATTCGAAAATATAAATTTAATAGCGAAGCGGGTATAGAATTCATCATATTGAGGATATATAAAGTAAACGACCACTCAGTTAGGGAAGACCGATTTATTGTTCAGTGAAGAATTACAGAATGCTTTCGCAAAATATGAAAGTCATACATTAAATACATTATTTACACTTCTTGTATTGGTTGTCCTTTACATCGTGATTCTTTCAATTCTGTTGCTATTACAATTACTTGTTGTTTCCCTTTCTGTTCTCTTCAATGGCACGCATTCCATTCCCGATTAGTTCTATATACCATTTAAATCTGTCAACATAAGTAGCATACACCACATATGTACTATTAGTTACTTGTTAACATCAGTATACCATGATAGTAATAAAAGTATGAAATGGACAAATATAAATTAATCTTTCAAGTTAATGTACAGGCAAATATCATGTAGAACTTGTCGATAAAATTGAACAAATTCAAAATAAAAATAACAACTAGCTTCTATGAGATTAGAGAAAGTTAGAATTTCCTAAAAAGCTGATTTCATGATACATAAGACCACGAGGTTTGAAAGACAATAATAAGGATTGTTTGACTAAGATATTAGTTCATGAAATTACCGAGTTTTGTTTATTTCAGAAGTTTTACTAGTATAAACACAAAATCTCTTCTGAAATCTAACCGTATGCAAGAAACAGCTCCATTCATCAATTACTCTACTAATCAATCTAGATTTTCGACTTTTACATTTTATACGATTTGTACATAATTTACCACAGATTAATAAATATTATTGTACCGATCCATATGAATTCGGCAGTTTATGTAGAGAAGGAAAACAAGTGAAATTTACGTACAAGTACTCACCTTTTTGATGTAATGTTAAATTTGATGCTAATTGTTTAGCTTCACTACGTATACTTGATATTACATGTGGACATGCAAGATGAATCGGTAAAAAACAAAGTCGAGTAAGTAATGTAATTTCTATAACAAATAATTTCACTTCTAATAATGGACTACAACATGGTGGTCGAGGAAATTTCAATGCACAAAATCCAAGACGAAAAATCAACTCAATATCAATACATTCCCATATATCAAAAGATCTATGTAAATCAATATTGTTAGTTTCTGTTTGCTTTCTGTGATCAGTGGTATTATGGTTAGCATTACTACTATTATTATTTATACAACTATCATTGTTATTAGTACTATTATTTGTATTATCAAAGCGTGTTGATTTAGGGAAGAAAATATTTCCATTGGTTGAAGAATTCGGCATACTAAAGATACGTTCCTTGTGTGCATTTGAAAGGCACTCCATGATACAACGTATTTGATCCAACCAACGAATAGCCTGTAATTTATAAACAATGTATACATACATAAGCATTTCGCTTTAGTAAAAGTAACAAATTATCATGATATTAGTGTACTTAAACCAAGATCATTAATATGTCATGCCACCTAGTGTATACTTATTAGTGGATTTAACTGTAGTAACTGAATAAATAACTTGAACAATAAAATAGTATATATAAAGGTCAAAAAATTCAAGTGATCGTGTCTAGAAGTAATCAACCATTCAAAGATATTCCGAAAAAATTCCAAGACACGACTCTACATGTTAAAATCCACACTCTGTGCAGAGAAATGAAAAATGATGCCCTCAGTTAGACAAGTATTGAAAACAAGCTGTTTACTTCCAGTATTACATTATCTGAAATTGTTAGACACCGAATCACTGAATCGGGAAAGTCCTACGTTTGATCCCGGTGGGATCGTCAGTAGAAAAAAGGAAGGCCCACAGATTTATTTCAATGTTTTGTTGACTAGAAATTACTTTGACGTGGCAACTATACTACTTTTCGAAAATAGACGTTGAATTCTATGAAAATCGTATTACATGTATTCTAAATTATTCTAAATTAATAGAAATTAAAGGGAAAGAGCAATATAAACGTATGGCAGACACACACTATATTTACCTTTTTAGTGTAATCAATGGATAATTTTTTACCTAATGGATGTAATTTAATTGAATTTGTAAATTTTTCTGTCGCTTCTCGGGGATTATTTGTGTTTGAACATGCACCAGTTTTCTTAGAACGTCCATTTCGTGAATTCTTTCGAGGATTTGAACTACCGCCTATACCAACACCACCACTACTATTACCTATACCCCCAGGTATACCATTTGAACTCCATGAACTTGACACTGTACTTGCAGGCACTGATTTCTGTTGACCGCGTGAATTAGACTGATAGTTAGCAGGACATGAATCTTGTTGATTAGTTCTATGTGAATTGTCTGTGTTTCGACTGATATTAGCTACATGATTAGTAGTATTAGTTTCAGAAGACTGATATTTTACTCTGCCAACAATCTCAAAAGAAACTTGTTCACAGTCATTGATAAATTCATTACTGGTATATAGTAATAGAAGAGCTAGGAAACGTGCCCAATGTAAGGCTTGTTCGGTATAACCATGAGCGTTAAGTGCTTGAAATCTTGTAAAAGCAAACTATAACGCAAAAGAAAGAAAACAAACAGAGAGACAAACAATATCATTCTGTACCAAGGAGAGTTTAGACTATCTGGTTATTTTTGTTATCACAAATCAGTTTTTCTCCTACGGGGTAACTAAGATGATGCTTTTTTGATTCATGATTTTCCAATGACTTTCTCTGTTATGTGACTGAACATTATCGCTTTTTGTTTGCTAACTTTTCTATATACCCCAATATCAATGCATGTTAACATATAAACACAGTTGTCTCTCTACAACTTTTGACTTTTATCTCCATTTCATATTAGCTTGTGTGTCAGACATCCAATCAGTTAGAGTTCATAATCGTTCTAGTTCGTATTAGAAGATTCTCAATTTTTCGTAAATATAATTTACTTTAAACTAAACTAAAACTTTAACACGTAAGTGTTTTTTTATATCAAGACATCATATTATGAAATTAAAAAATTCACTTCGTACTTTTTAATGATCTGGATATTTTGAATCCAATTCAAACAAAAATTAGTAAATGGGATTAAGTTCATACGTGCTTCACATTCAACAGCACTGTGCCTTGTATGAGGGCTGTAAACCATGCTCTTCAGCTGTTCACATGGAAGTATGCAATGAACTTGCAACCAAATGGTTATATGAACACTAAAAATCCACTGAGTCCATTTAAAACCAGTTATGATATGGATTGAAAAATGAATTAAATATTAAAGCTGCAAATTTTAGCCAATATGACCTTAACCATAGACACCATCCATCTTTGCTTATAATGCTTGTGACTTAAGGCAATATCGAGGCAACTCGCACAGGATGCACATATGCCAATAATAGACTGACCAATTACAGTCCCAAACATCAATAGAAAGATTCAAACAAACAATACAAAATGAACTTAACCATATTTGTTTTTAGATAATGAAGATAATAAAAAAATAGTAAATACATAACTTTATGTCAGTAGTTTACAACTGACTAGAATAAAATAATAATAAGAAAAAAGGGTTAAGCAAATACAATAAGTAAACTGAATTACAAGTCAGTTAGTCATAAGCAACGCTGAACTTGGCACATACGTGCATCAATCCAAATTGTCACACCACATCAGTAGAACGAGATGAAATTCACAAGATGAATATAAAAATCAGTAGAAGAGAGAACAGTATCAGCGACAGTAGGAAAAGTTCAACATAGACAATATGATCTTTTAAGAAACAATAAATTCGTGCAATAGAAACGTATGAGGTAATTATACAACTTAAAATTTAATATCCCACAACTTCACAGACTACGGATATCAGAAAAACATCTCACGTCTTTGTATAGTAAACGAGAAAAAGATACTAAATAAAGTACACGGAAAATTTTTAACACCATGATACGTGAGATAAGGGGACATAAGATGTCACGAGACAGAATCAAATAACATCAGAAAAAATAAGAGAACAACTAAATCCAGTAACCGTTATCTGGTTTTAATTAGAGACTAAAACCGGAGAATAAAAAAGAAAAAGAACAGGTGGATCTGCGCTGATAGTACAGACTTGGATCCAGGTCTCTCAAACTGTACAACTATAAATCAAGCTTGTCTTACAATTAGTTTAACTAGAAAGCATGCATCTCAATTACACACTGTTCAGAATACCAGTTATCTAGCTCCCGTGAATTAATCTAATGTGTGAGGCTCTCCAAACAAAACAAGTTATTAGTACCATTAATATAACAGTGTTTCGGTGAACATTTGCATCAGAGATCCTACGTCCTACTAGTTGATTGACTTCAATAAGTTCTAGGCTTTCACAAAATCATCCTGCAATGTTCATTTTATTTCATGACGTTCTCAATATACAGAAATATTCAAAATATTATCATCTAATAGCTTACTTCAATATGATTTTCAGGTAAAGGAAGATTATTCAATAATTGTGAATTCATTTGATCTATACTCCAATAATTATCTAATTGCATTGGACAATTATGACTATGATTACCGTTGTTATTATTATTATTATTGTTACTTCGTAATGAATTGTAATAATGTTTTGAAAAATTCAAAATCATATCTGCATAATTTGTTGTTTCAGAATCACTATTTACATGTGCACCAGAAAATAATGGCATAACTATAAAATGCAGAATAATATTTTAAGAGAAAAATTACAACCTTTTTCTTTACAGACAATAACAATAACAACAATAATTAAAATGAAATTATAAACCAATTACAGTTATTATTGGTAATTTATATTCACTGTTTTACTTATTATTATCTAATAACAGAATCAAAGAGCCTCCAACACAGGGATTTATGGAAATTGTTGAATTTTGTAGTTTACACTATAGATCAGCCATAGTTGGACGACTACTGAGAATTAAAAATTATTGGACAGTGGTTTTGTTCTACAATGAGCAGACATACCATCGGGTATAGTATATTCTAATAAACTCATGCACCAAGTATATGCGTATGAGCAACGCTTCTAATATGAAGGTTAGTGATACTATTTTATTTATTTATTAATTTACACATATAAACAGTGGTACAAGGAGGCACCAAATAGATATCCGCCACATAAATCATCCGATTTGTGTGAGGGCTAGGATATTGCCCGGGTGCCGAAACCGAAGCAAGTGGTTTTCCTAGAGGGCCACACCTGCAGCTCTTAATCTAAAAGTCGAATCCGCAAGGCCGTGTTCTCCCAAATTCTAATCTTCTGAATTCTTCATGTCCCTTTTTTCCTCTTTCCAAATTTGTTTCACTGGATTATACTCTTTAAATAACATCTCGAAACCCTAATCTTCCCGATTACTGCTTATACTCTTATTACCTCTACCACTACGGGATTTGAATCGACAACTGCATCTCTGTGCTAATGTGGTGTGGCAACTCGAACTGATGTACGTACGTACGAAGTTCTACGTTGTTACTGACTGACTGGAGCAACGTCAGGAGACGCAGTCCCTTGGTAGCCGATGGCCAACGATTGGTTCATACGCCATTTATTCCCTCAGGATACTGGAGCTCATGTGCACTATTGGTTTATAATTAGGGTTTTCAAACTCCCTTAGACGAACTCTCTGTGTCCACCAACCCGGTTAAAGCGCCGGACATTCAGTTTTCGTCCTCTCAATTTCGTAAAAAACAACCCTGCCGCGAGATGGTAGTGAGTAGGACTTCCCTGGCAGTGGTTGTATGCACGTGGCCATGTGAGAGCATTTCGAGAGGAAGAGCTGACTGTCCTCACTCTCGGCTGTACCAGGGCATTGAGGTGGCGAAATAGACGAAGCAGGCTTCGAACTTGGGGGCCTAGCGGGCGAAAGTAAAACACCCTAACCACTAAGCCACCTCTCCGCATATCTAACGGGGACTAAACTCAGGACCATTTAAGTCTCGTGACATGGACTTAACCTCTAGACCACCAATGGTTTGCATTTCTAATTTCTGTCGCCTTGCGATATTGCACAATCATCATCGAACGCCACTGTTTGGTAACTGCCTCACTCCTAGCATGATTAAGTTCCAATAGCCATACGCTCAAATTTTTACCAATTAAATCACTACGTAATATGAATACAGTTCGTTATTTTTTTGGTCACAGGTTCGTATAAATTAAGTATTTTAAAAGAATTTTTCAATTCCAGACAGATGATCTCCAAGTAGGTTGTAAAGACGCTTTCAACACTACAGTAACTGCAATAACATTCAAGAAACAAAATACAATGTATGGATTACAACTTGTAACTAGATATTGTTCGCTACATCAGAATTTCAAACATTAAAAATATAGTATTGAAGAGACAAAGTGAACGTACATTTTAGAAATTCTGTACTGGAAAGACCATATGTAGGTGGAACTTCGGAAGACCATGAAAGTCTAAAATTATGAACAAAATCCTTAAGTCAATTTTCCTTAGAAAAAATGAATAAAACTTGAACTGAGTAACAATATTCATTAAAACTTCGTTTATTTTAAGGTTATTTTATTCAAAAACTGACATCAACTGGTAATCTAGTTAAGTACCAGTTAGCGCTGGACAGCTATTTCAGTTGTGAATTCTTAATCCGTTAGATCTACAATATATTTCAGTACTAAGCAAACAGAGAAGATAAATTAGATCGTGTATATTTTTAGCAATATGGGTAACTAGTGAAGTGGAGTGACCTTCAACAAAACATGAATTAAATCCGTTCATCATCCAACAGATGAAATTGGGTATTACAACACTAGGTGATATGGCTGAAAAACAATCATAGTAAAATAGATCAACTCTTTGTTTTCCCCTATATGTAGAGTTTCAAAACTATTTTGTGTTTTCCATTCCGCTAATTCATTCAGTCGTCTCGAATTACATTCTCAAAGGCTAATCCATTTTAATATCAATGATATTACTGCTTGATAATTTCTTCTTGCTCTTCTAATGCGGTGTAGTTACTTGGGTTGATGCATATTGTATTAGGTTCTACGTTTTTAATGTCCGACTGATGACTGAGATGTCAAACGATTTGCTTGATGCTAAATCATTTCAGCCAATATATTAGAAGAATAGATTGTTCATTAATTCAGCAATTTACAAAAATGGATGGTGATTAGCAGTAGAATCCAGGACGTATATGTAGTCCTATTTGGGACTCGTCAGCTGAATGTACCTGCATCCCACAGTTGTTCACTCCGCAACTCGAACCCAGTACGGTTCGCTACAAACGCCATCACATTACCGACTTAGCTACTCAGTCTGGATAGCCGCTAGCTTGTGCAATGGGGTGATGTTTTAATTCATTTTTGTAAATGGATAACGGGATGGCGTTTGAAGTGAACGGTACTGGGTTAGAGTTGAGGAGTGAACATCAACTCTGGAATGCAGGTACGCCAGGCTGACGAGTCCCGAATAAGACGAAACGTGCACAGGATGCACACATGCCAATAAGGGACTGTTCTATTTTACAAAGTTAAAGAAAACTAAAATAATGTAAACATATTAATCAGTTCAACAAGTACAAACCTTGAAATGAACAAACTTAAGTTTTACTTATTCTCCTTACCATAAAAATACCATTTTAAAGAATATATGAATAAACTTATGATATAGTCAAGTATTGTTGTTAAGTTTAATGCTAAATTCACTGAACGTTAAAATGAACCAAATAATAATAAAAGTAAATTACTGTCTAGAAATTTCCTACCTGCAAGCTGCAAGAGCCGGTAAAAATCCCGAAAATAATGAAATATTTTTTGGTATTATATCAGAATCGTCTTGAGAAGATATTTCATTAGGAAATAATCCATTGCCTAATGTATCACACCAAACCATAGTCATAGAATTTTTAGCAGTACTTGTTAAATTTATTTGAATATCAGCTTGTTTTAAAGCGAATGCATGAAATGCTTGTAGTCTATGAGCAATTTTTTGTAAAAGCCAACAACAATCTGAATAAGATTTACAATTTTCAGTAGAAAATAAACCATTTCCACATGATGATGACGGTGACAATGATTTATGATTGACATAATTTAAAATTGGTCGAAGTTCGGGATTTAAACAAGCTAAACTCCAAAGTTGAACAATTTCTTCACATAACCAAACAGCAACACACTGAGTTTGTTTTTGACGAACAGATACACTTTCAGGAAAGTGACAAGGATTAGTTTGAACAGTACACCACCAAAACATAACCTATAAGCATGATAAACAACTTTTTTATATTATGAATTGCTGAGTAAAAATCATTAGTTTGAAATCTATAAAAATTTGTCATAGCCTACTTTGACTACAGTATGTTAACCCTAGACACCAAGTACTGGCATTCCTGTAATCAGAGTTTTGAACCATACTGTTTTATATGATGACTGATGGTGTGATACTACTCCGCGCAAAAAAATGTAAGGTAGATAGACAGAAGTTTGAAACTCGAAAGATTATACACTAAGATCCATAGGATATGAAGCAAATATTTTATTAGTATTGTTTTTTTTTTAAAAAGAGATAATTTTATAATTATTTAGTGTTTGGCAAATTGGAAAAAAAAGAAAAAAAACAGGATATTACCCAACACTACAAAACATCGATAATCTATTTTGTAATAATAAACTAATAAAGAAATTTATGGGTATTAGATACATGTTCATTTAACAAATTATTATTATTATTCCTGGAAAGTATAAAGAAGCTGAGAAATATTTGAAATACATCTTTTTTTTATTAGTCAGGCCTTTCAATAAACTCCAATATATTTATGTTCGTACTTTGATTCGTTAAATTTACTAAGTGTAACTATAAAATTGCTTGTATCTATACGAATAAACTCTGATTTCAGTAAATTGAATAAATTGCTCACTTGTTTTATTTATTCAAAGATCAAATTTCATTAAAGCATTACAGTTTAAACATAGGCTAAAACGACTAAAAACGTAAACATTAGAAGGGTGTATGCATAATAAACTAAACGACACTAAAACAATGATCAAATTCCAGATATTATCATGAAATGTCATATACTATCAACAACAAATTGTTAAAACATGAAGGTAAGTAGAAAAAATGAAGAGAATAGTTGTATAGATGAGTGTGTGCATATGTACTCAACATCTATTGCATCAACAGTGGCTAACATTTACTGTCTCAACTAACAAACACATATATATGCCATTGATACTAATAATAATCAAAAGTATACATGGTGGGGATTAATTCCTCAGTAGATGGTAGTTAGCAAAGTAAATAATTAAACTAATAAGAAATCATTGTGAATATTAACCAAATGATAATTACACAACAAAAATCAAATAAATTTTATCTGGGATTTAGTTTTTACGTAATTTGAACTTTCATTACCAATAGGTTTGTGAGGTGAAGTAACAGGAACACGAAGTTCTAGACATCGAAAGTAGATCATTGTTTGAGTTCCCTGTGATACGATGACAAAACTGAACGTTTTAAATTTCCAGGTACAAATAGTTATTTTGCAAGAGGTTTTATGTAGAAGGAAAATCAACGAATCAACATTCACCCACGCAAAAATACATTTCAAAATTGAAATGCATCGTGGTTGTCTAAAATGGTGAATATATGCTTTTTTTCTTTTAACCCTTCCCATCTAAATACTTTGGACATTAAGGAGAATATGCTGCTTGAGTCTAGTAGCAACAACTTTAATCTATGAATATTATATTTGTAGTATGTATAAAAAAACAGAGTAAACACAAGATTACCTCATTCATATCTAAAATGCATCGTGTAACAATTTCTAAGAGTAAAACACCATTATTATCTTGTCTTCTCATCATATCTCTAATAAATGATAGTAATGCCCAAAGGCCACGTGGTTCGTTGGCACGATAAGAACGAAGTATACAGTGAAAATTCTCTACTTCCGTAGGTGAATTAAAACTTAGTGATCCAATATCACTATATAATACAGGTCGTGGAGCCCAAAATCTACGCAGTGTAACTCGTAATTTTTCTTCTAATACACCACCATCAAAACACCACGCTGCTGCATCTCCCAAAGCTCCACCGACGGTTGGATCTATTTAAAAGGAAATTATTATCGATCAATATATGTAAAATAATCTACAAAATGCAATATATTTGATATATACACAAATTTTTCAAATTAACTTTCCAATCAATTAAGATGAAATTCGTGAAAGGTTCGTACAACTTAAAAACTGATTCATTTATTAACCATATGTACACTTGAAAAAAGTAGGACGATAAGTGGTTTCAAATCACGCAACTATACAAATAAGCTACTACTACTGTGGTGTATGCTACTTATGTCAACATAAGTAGTATATAACACAAATCACAAGTGGAATGTCTGGCAGCAGAAGGTTGGAAGATCGAATCGACGAGAACGGTAACAGAGAGTAATTGTTATGACAATGAGGAAACGATTAAGTTTGAGGCAATTGATGGAGAATTCTTAAATGAAGCATTGAATGTATGGTTTTCACATTTGATGAAAGAACTCAGTAATTTTGTATTAAAATATATTGGTTGCTCGACCTGTGTTCCCGTTCATTACACCGCTACTAAGTTATTTTAACAACGAATATTTCGTATTTTTCTTCTTGAAATTTGTAGGTTTTTCAGCGCTTACATAATCTCTTACGAATGAGCCTGATAAATAGACGAAATTACTCAGAAAGCAACAGTAATAGTCCATAGATGTTACCCATCACCTCCTCTTTACCACTCACTCATCGATCAGCACAAATTTAAAATCAGCAAAATAAAATACAAATGAACCGGATTAAGTATCTGAGTAGACGAGAGAAAAACAAATGCAAGGCAATAAGGTATTTACGATTTAAACGGTGAAGAATAGGTGTATATGAGTCACTAAATCTAATGTTGACCAACCTTACATGATGTATCAAACTAGTGATTTCTAACATGTCGAGAGCCATAATCAAGAAATATACACATTCCAATGCGTTCCAGACCAACAGCCGATTTATGTATGAATTACTATAATATTCTGATCGGAGAACACTGAAACTATTTTCCACTTATTCTAGTCAGACTCATAATACCTTATACTATATAAACAGTGTTCTGGAACGATGACCCTCGATCCTTCTACATATGTGACTCGTTTATTTTACTACTCATAGATAGCCAGCTCATCCAACCTAATGAACTACTTCTCCCGAAGCTACCATGATATCAGCACGCTTGAAACCAACTTAGACTTCAAATTTTTTCGGCAAACCCAAGCTATTGTATAGGTATCAAACAGCTATTGTAAAAATCGACCAAATATGCAGAAGTAATGTATAGTGATGTCACTATGCAGTGTTACGGCCTGATTCGTAGTATTTATTGGATTCTATCGATCAATTTATAAGGTGACTATTGTTCTAAGAGACTTCATATCACGATGCGCTATCATTCTTTGTATTATATAGTTAATCTACGGGTATCTGGTCAACATTAAGGACTAAATATAGGTTTTCATTTAGTGATCAATTAATGTAACTGTTATTTTTTATTTATAAATAAATACATTACCATAAAATTCTCAAGTGATACATACCAGGTGCTCCAGCAGAATTTTTAATAGGATTATTTGTAGCAGCCAATAACTGGTCTAGAATAAGCTGTGCAGCTGGTAAAATCTACGAAGGGAAAAAAGAAGGATAAGATAAAAACAAAACAGAAGATAATCAATCATGCAGTGAACTAGTCGATCTATCTATTATTGCGAAACAAGTAAATAAATATGGCATCTGTAATTTCAAAAAAAGCAATGAATTTTAAAGAAAATAAATGGGCTACTAATTAAAAGCAACTCTATCATAACAAGCGATGACTTTTGCAATCGGACTATCATAAAATCAAAGAAATAACGTTCATACACACACCATAAGCAAGGTATTGTGGTAATAATGCTATCGTAATTCGAAATACTATCGGCCTTATTTAGTCTATTAAAAAACTGACCGACTGGATGCCTGTACAACGAACAGAATTCAGACACGATTGTGAATCAACTCAAATACTCAACTTCTAACTATTGAGTATTAGATTAGAACCAGGCTTCGTTTATATCGATTCGGGCAGTGGGTAGGTATTACCAACCCTAAAACAAAAATTGAAATATATTAACTAGACGACTTAGAACGACGAATCAACCAGCTACCAACGGAATACTGCACATGATAAACATAAAAATCACGGGAACTAACGCGAATGTGCATTAATGCAAGCTATCACACTTCATATCAATATAGTAAGTGAATAAACAAGATAAACAGCAAAAGAATGAAAATAATGATATCAACGGAGAAGCCAATAAAATCGAAGGAAAAGTATGTAATAATACTAAAACTCTAGACTTGAAGAAAGATAAGGCCATATCACCTGATCTCCAACCATAAAATACGGTAATCTTACTGACTTCAAAACATTTAGAAACTTTATGAAATGTCACATCTTGAAACGGATACTATTAACCTTCTAACCCACTTATACATTAGCCATCTGACCCACTGAAATAATGACTGATAACATAGTACCATTGCCGGCCACCTCAATCAAGAATTTATGATCTCAGTGACGCATTTATCGCTTTTATTCGACACATTTTCTACCTAACATCCGGGTTGTCTAACTCGACATTTTCCTTCATCATACACACCAGTTTTGAAGATACCTATGACAAACGCTAGTAACCTAAAAATGCCAAGTCAGTCAGAAAGTAATATGGAGCTGAGTGTTTAACACTGTGCTCAGTCTCTGGATGACAGAAATATATATCACCTGTCCCAAAGGTGTCGTGAACTGGTACAAGCCAAGAAATTGGCACTATGTGCTCCACAATTTCATAGACTGCTAAACCATCACGATTGATGAGATTTCCAAGGCAAGTGATAAACCAGCTCAACTACTATAATCCCTATCATCAAAATAATTCTTAAAAAATAATCCAGTTTTAAAGCAGCACTTAATATTTGGAAGGAGAGGAAAGGTATCTCAAGCGTACTTGAATACCCACTCAGTATCTGGAATACAAACAAACAGAATAAAGCAAAGTAGCCAGTACATTGCGAATAAGAAACTTTTTTTGGAAACTGTCCGATCATTCGATCTAAACAACCTCGTTTATAAAGCAAAGTTACAAACTTACCTTTCTAGGGCCTACGTGACAAATTAAATTTTGAGCAAATTTTTGTAAATCTTCTCTACTTAATTTTGACAGAGACTCTGATATAGGAGCACGTAATAAAACTTTATCAGGTTGTCGAATACGCATTAAACATGTGGCAACAACATGTGAACACCATGTTCCTGTAGGATTTTGCCCATTTGTCGGCATTAAATCATTACGTATGTTATTTTGATTTACAATATGTTGATTAAACAACCAAGAACGACGACTGTTGGGAGATGTTTGATTACATGAATTTTTTGATAAACAATTACTATTTGGAAAATAACTATTAAGTTGACTAGATATTTGGCGTGAGTTAATATGAGAATTTGTAAAAATTGATCTATTTCTAGCACCAAATTGCCACAGAGTTCCAGAATTTGGTTCTGTTCCAGTCATTGGTTGATAGGCAAACGAATTTGATTTGATAGAATTACTAACGTTTTCTGTGGAGTCTAAATTTATCATATTATTATCTCCAAAATTTGAAGGTGATGCAACAGCTGTACATCTTTCCTCTAAACCGAAAGTACACGTGCATGAGCATGAAGTTATTCTCTGTCGATCGAATGTCAATGAAACTCGATGAGCAGGATAATCAGGCTCAATATTAATTCCACGTTTTCGTAATCTATTATTGTTACTATTATTATTAGTGTTATTGACAGTACTTTCATTTGCAGTCCCAAAATTTTCAAAATTCGACTGTCCACGATGTGCATCATTTGGATTAGGATTGATAACATATGGAATGAAATGACCAATGGAACTAGGATTATTATTATTATTATTATTATTATTATTATTATTATTATTATTATTATTATTATTATTTGTACCATTCTCCTCATTATTCGCTGGAGGTACAAAAGCAGGTGCAATATGAAGACTTGTCAATACAGTTGCGCTCAGATGAAATCCTGATCAGAACAAACCAAAAAAAAAGGAATAAAAATATTAAAACTGAACAAACAAAATTTCCCACACATTAAACAACTGGCATGTGTAACTTGGTCAAAATAAAGTCACTCAAACAAAATGAAAAATAACTTAGACAAAAAAGGATAACAATAATTGTAGAATATGAACAATTCATTGTATTTGATTTCTTTTTCTTTAGCTACATACAACTAATATGTTTAACTATTTCCAATAAAGAATATAATGTTAGAAAATGGATTATGAATCCATAACAAATAAGTCGCGTGCAGTGAGAAAATGTTAAAAATTGTTTTAACAGGTTTTTTATGGTTTTTTAAGGTTCAAGTATATTAAGATTACTTTATTGCACAATAATGGAAGTCCAAAAAGGAGGAGAGGACGTGTAAGCTTAACTCACAATATTATGACTAAAATTAGTTAAAGACAAGGGTCTTATTTCTATTTATTTATTTAAAAACATAAACTTTGGTATGAAGAGGCAACAAATATATATACGTCACACTTCGTCATTCGATTTGTGTGAGGGCTGGAATACTGCCCGGGCGCCCAAACCGAAAGGAGTCAAAATGTTATCAGGGTAAGTGAAAGTCCACTAATGACTTTTTGAATACAACAGTTAGATTTAAGCTCTTTAATTGCTGTCTTCTGGAAATTTTAAATAATTGTCTACGACAAAAAAAACGATATCTCGAATCAATTATAAACATATGTAGGACCAATAAGAAATATAATATCCAAACCAAGCTAATAATCTTTATCTCCAAAAGCTACTATATTTACGTACCGATTTGAACACATTCTTTAACAGCTTTATCAGCCCACAATGCTTCACCTTGATCAAATTCGTATGAACCCCCACTGCTAAGACAGGAATACAACCATATATCATCTTCATCAGTTGGAAAGCTATGAAAGGCTATAAGTCTTTGCAATTCTTCTGGCACAGTAACTGGACTGGATTCAACAACCTCAAATGGGAAGTGTAGAGCGATTGCTTTGGCTGTTAAAACGAGTAATGATTCCGGTGAGTTGAAATGTTTACCTGAATCAAAAAGAAACAATACATTTGGTAGATGGAAACGAAATGATTAACACAATGTGAAAAAAACATCTCAAACAGTTAAATCCAATGTGTAAACTACCTACGTTCCATCACATAAAACTAAATCAAAATAGGGAACGATGGGTAAAAATCGCTTGGTGATGAATATATTTTTACAATTCATCGTTAGACGGAAGGATAATTTAAAAGCGAACTTTCGGATGAAGATTTCATGTATATCAGTGTCAAATTCAAAAAATCTACCGAGAACCTAATAATACGAATATTATTCAGTAAAACAGATCTTTTTTGTTTAACCATGTTCATTAATAGAAACCACATTCTATGAGTGATACACGAGTGATGATAGTAAAAAAAACTCGTATCTTGAGCTTTACTTAAGAAACTTAAAGAAAAAATCAAGCCTTATTAACTGATGATTCAGATATGCGTCTAAAATCATTTCTAACTTTCATGTGCATTAAATAGAGTAAAAACAAGACGGATAAAGCCTCGAATATCCAGATCAAGACGTCGTATAAACCTGTCGGGTTATTTTCTACTGACACATGTATACATGTTTCTTTAACGGGATCGTAGACGCATCGAAAAATTTTCAGCAAAAATACGTGTTAAGAATGTCATTATGAACAGAGATGGATGGTGGTTAGTAGTGAAATCCAGGACGCGCGTTTTATCCTTTTTGGGATTCATCAGATAGATGTGCCTGCATCCGAGTTGACGTTCACCCCAGTACTCAAACCCAGTACCACTCAGTTCAGACGTTATCACGTTATCCACTCAACTGATCAATCGTAGTCCCAAACGTCAGTGAGGATATTCAAACAGCCAATATTAGATGAGTCAGAAATGTCGGTTTTGATCACTTTCACCGGCATTTTTGAGGCTAAATTGTTCTTCCCCTCCAAGCCTTTGTTTTCCCGTATTTTCTCAATCTCATACACCAGTTGCTGCTTAATATCCTCTGTTGGTCTGCAAAATCTTTCATATTTATCTTTATTGGTTATCAAGGACATTGCTATATGTAAACTACCTTAAACCCAAAACCCGTGATTAAAAAAGTAATATTTTGATGCGCATGTTTCACATAATTAACAAAGAGATATCATTGGGTTTAAGCAGAGAGAAGAGGGATCCCAGTCCATGAATCTATTCATATAAGCAATAACAGTTCCAAGTACTAATAAACATCACTAAGGAATTCTTCACGTATCTCTGCCATTCTTCTGTCTCGGACAGTGGTGTTAGCAAACGCGGAAAGTTAAAACTGACCTAACTAAAAGTATACAGACTCATGAAATCAGCAACAGTTAATATTAACAAAGGAGAAATCTGCATATCGAAAAGTTAGTTACCAATGGTTGATGATATAGCGTATGATAAATCATAGTGACACAAGAATATTTAAATATTCGCGTCTCTTCAGGTTAATTCCAACTGAAGCAGTTACAAATTTACATTTTGCATGATTTATCTTATGCTGTCAAAACGCATCGTAATCCATGGTAGTTCTTCTTAGCATGAACAGCTATTTAACGAAATTCTGTCTTTATTTAAATTGTTATTAAGCAAATATAAGCGAGAGACAATTTTCATAAGCTTTGAAACTAAGATATTGTGTAGTAAATCGGAAAAATTTAAATACAGAGAATAGGAAGTTGTATCCACACTGGAAGGAAGTGAGGTGGCTGAAGATGACAATTGAAATGACCTGGAGTCAATCTTCCTAAAGCCTTGCTGTTAAGCTTTAACTGCCCTGTAATTGTTCAACGGGAAAGTATTAAGTAGTGCATAAGCCTCCACTGACGGTTAGAAAGTGATAAACTTGAATTTTACAAAGTGAACAAAAAGCTATTATTTAAATAAGATATTAACTATACCGTCTGAAATATTTACCAGTGTTAAAAATGCAAGAAACTTCAACTTTCCAATAAGAAGACCTAGCTATCATTTTGACTTACGATTTAAATCTTCTTCCTTATTATAAGCTCCTTTCTTTAAAGATCTGAACGTGAAATCCAAATCAAACTCGCTACTAGGCGAATAAATGGAAAAGTCCATATCACTGTCTGCATCATTAACGGTTCGCGGAGACGAATACGAGCTCATAATTGACTTGGATAGTATAAGGAGTTAAAACTGGTTGAAAACGCGTTAGTATGCGACAGGATTAGATCCGGACAGGCGGATATGTAAAATTCAAACCTAAAAATTAAGAGACTAATTAGAGCACTTCTGCGAAAAACTTTACTGGTTTATCTATCAAAGGACAACAGCTCCTTAATCCAAGACTGAAACTAACAAAAGTAAGAAACTTGAATGGCAACACTGATGAAAAAAGTATTTGGTTACATCAACACAGCGCGGTTTAATAAAACGTATCACTACGGGGAGCAAGTGTTTAATCACTGTGACAATCTCACATAGTTTCACAATCTACGAAATATTTAATAAAGTGGAAAGGATGTGTAGAGATGTTTATAAACTTTTGTATCTTTTTAAACTTAGTCTTCAGAAAGAAGTTTAAAATGAAACGGAAGCAAACAATAGAATGGTTGTGTTCCAAATACTATATCCAATCAGTAAAATAATGAAGTCTAGAGATACTTAACTAACCACTAACTCTCATTACTAACAAAAATAAATCAAACTAATGAAAGCACCCATTATTCCTTGTTACTCAAAATGGGAGCTGCCCAAAGACATCTTACCAACCAGAGGTGGTAATCTGGTGGTGAGGATGGTTTTTTTCTTCTCTAACTTCGTACCGATTTCCGTTCACCCTCATATGAGAATTTCATATCATGACATTTTGAATTGGCGACAGTTCTATTTGGGTCTTTGGATAAAATGACTTTAAAATCAACTTCACGAATAAGTGGTCCACCATCCGGAATTCCACTCTTTGAGTACTTTGCTAATGACTTCTCGCCTTTTCACGTTTTTCAGTTGTGTTTAGCTCTTCCAGTAGTTGCACTTATGACAAATAAACTCACTATTGTCGGTACCCGGATCTCCAGTACCACTACGGTCGACTTTCTTTTTCACTAACGCAAGAAGCGCAATCACCTCCTGGATCAGTGACGTCCCACTCTAACGGCGAATCCAATGAGAGTAAGGCTTCTAACATCACTCATATGTAGTGAGTGGAAAACGGAAAGACATCTTGCATAACTATTTGTTTACGTTATTTATTTATCTAAACATAGACATTGGTATAAGGAGGCATCAAAAATGCATGCGTCACGCTTGTCATTCGATTTGTGTGAGGGCTGGAATACTACCCGGCGACCTACGCCGAAGCAGGCATAACTATTCACTAAATCCATTATCTTGCATTCCTTTCTTAACAGGGAAGAAGGAATCTACACTGATAAGTACGGCCGACCATTGCAGACAAGACTTACATATAAATTTAATCCTCACATAAAAAATTAGAACTAGGCAGTAAAATCATGAAATCTAGTAAGCGCATACGAAGAACGACAAAAACACACAACCTAGCAGGTATAAAGAACAGGCAGATAAGGCAAACCACAGAAACGAGTTTGATTTAAAGAACATGAACTTTAACTGAAACAATTTATGTAAAAGTTGGGCAAATATGATTTTGATGCCGCAAACGAGCAAAAGTAAGGCTAGTTAACAACACATCTGGGGACCAAGCCCCTTTTGAAATACTTGGTTATATTATTAAATCCTTTCCTTCCATCTAGAGCTGGAAATTGGGAATGGATCTCAAAAACCGAGATCAAATTATACGCATATAGAGTTTTGCTTCTTGTGCCGGGTAGTAAATTAGTCGAATTCTAAAAAGGAAAACGAAGTGTTAGCACCACCTACAGGTATATCCAAAACCAGACTAGACCTTCCTAACATTATGAACCACGAAGATTAACACATCGTTTGAGATCCCATCCATACTTTTAAATACTGAGGATAAATAAAGCCAGCTGTCGGTGAGTCCACCCGAGCTTTTAATTTTGGGGTTTCTGTGCCATTTCCCCAAAATTTACTATAGCGGCTTCCCCAAAATTGGGAGCTTGGGCATATATAACTTTCACTCTAATGTCGACCCCTAGCGTTGTTACCACCATTGGAGAAAAATCAGCCCACCTTACAAAAAATATGTTTAATTAATCCTCACTGATTTAAAATCGACTCCGAATAAGCCAAACACTAGTGAAAACCAAACTAGTTGATTATAAAGCATAAAACACAATATGTTTGGGAAAGCAAGTCGCCAGAAATTAAATAAGCTTGCGAAACATCATACCTAAATTTAATAGAGGTTAAATTACTCCTCCATCACACAAACAAAGAATAGCAACTTCTCGAAGCAGCATACAGAATAAAAATGAAACTGAGCACACAAACTACCCGCTAACAAACCTGTGACCTTGGTTGCTTTAATCCTCATGTATCAGAAGCAAGCTGAATACACAGAAGCAAACAAGTAAAGAGGAACATCAGAACCGACAAACTTAAATACGTAGAAGATCTAGCGATGACGGTGGAAAGAGCTGCAAGAGAAGGAAACATGAGAGAATCGTATGATGCAACAAAGAAGCTCACTGGAAATTATTGTAAACCGAAACGACCAGTGAAAAGCAAGGGAATCAATGTAATCACCAGAATTGAAGAACAATAAAACAGGTGGGCAGAGCACTTCAAGGAACTCATGAATCGATCAGCCCCGCTGAACACACCCAACATCGAAGTAGCACCCACGGACCCACCAACAATTGAAGAGATCAGCATGGCCATCGGACAAATCAAGAGCGGCAAAGCAGCGGGACCAGTCAACATTCCAGCATATGCACTGAAAGCAGACGTGGCAGTAACGGCAAAGACACTCAAAATTATTTTCAGCAGGAATTGGGATGAAGAACAAGTATCAACAGACTAGAAAGAAGGAGACTTGATCAAGATACAAAAGAAAGGCTATCTCAGCAAATGTGAGAACTACAGAGGCGTCGCTCTTCGCTCACTGTCGGGTAAAGTCTCCAACAGTGTGTTGCTAAATAGAATGAAGGGTTCCGTAGAAGTCCAACTTCGAGACTAACAGACTGGATTCCGTACGGATCGGTCGTGTGCAGACCAAATCGCAGCTCTACGGATCATTGTGGGAAAATCAGTTGAATGGAATTCATCACTCTACATTGATTATGAGAAAGAATTTGAAAGCGTAAACAGGACAACCCTATGGAGGCTTCTTTGACACTACTGAGCGCCTGAGAAGATAGTCAACATCATACGGAATTCCTATGATGGATTAAACGGCTGACAAACTCGTTCGAGGTAAAGGCCGGTGTCAGGCAAGGTTGCTTACTCTCACTCTTCCTCTTTCTCCTGATGATTGACTGGATCATCAAGGTTTCAACATCTGGGTAAAAGCAAGATTTTCCGATAGAACACAACGTGCACCAATCAAATCACACTTGATGGAGAAAGTTTAGAGGATGTAAAGACCTTTACATATCTGAGCAGCAGCACTGATGCGCACGGTGGGTCTAATGCAGATGTGAAGGCGCGGATCGGCAAGGCAAGAGCGGCATATCTACAACTGAAGAACATCTGGAACTCAAAACAACTGTCAATCAACACCGATCTCAGAATTTTCAAGGCAGTTCTACTATATGGGGTGGAAACCTAGAGAACTACAAAAGCCATCAACCAGAAGATACAGGTGTTTATTAACAGCTGTCTAGGTAAAATACTTCGGATCCGTTGACCAGACACTATTAGCGACAACAAGCCAGACCCAGTGGAGGAAGAAATCAGGAAGAAACATTGGAAGTGGATAGGACACACATTGAGGAAAACACTCAACTGCATCAGTAGGCAAGCCCTCAATTGGAATCCTCAAGGCCAAAGGAAAAGAGGAAGACGAAAGAACACATTACGCCGGGAAACGGAGACAGACATGAGAAGAATGAACAAAATTGGATAGAACTAGAAAGGAAGGCCTAGGACAGTGTGTATTGGAGAATGCTGGTCGGTAGCCTACACTCCATAGGGAGCAACAGGCTAAAGTAAGTAAGTAATAATAAGCAAGCGACTAAAAATTTATTTAGAGCCATGTGCTTCAACATATAGCAGAATACTAGCAAATATGATCCTCAGTTATTTCATAAACACAAATATTTTTAACAAGGTTCAAGTTCGAATTATGTGAGAGAAGTGTGAAATTTTCTTTCACGAAATCTGTCGTTATAGATATTAGGACAGCCTGTTCTCCAAGCTTAAGATTCTGAACATGCACTCGAACAATTCATGATTGTTATTTATTATTTTGGAATTCACTGGTCTGTAATTTCATCTACTTTCTACAACCTGGTTTTTCCCATAGATATGTTCGACAGACCCTGTTTATTCTCTCCTTTAGTGTTAAGGATGCATTCATCAAGTATTTCTCGATAGGATATCCAAACTTATACACCAGTGTAAAGTTTCTTTATGTTCCAGGTTGTACAGTTCCAATAACGTTGTACTGACCAGTAACAAGTCTGAAACCAGCAAAGGGGGTAAGTTAATTAGTTTGACTATGTTTTATATGCAATCCACTATTCATCTATGTCGAAACAGTCGTGTTAATCCGGCAATAGTATTTTTTAAATGTTCGTCTTTATGCCGTAATCAGTGCAAGGCTATTTTCTACATAGTGTTCGTATGGTCGGTAGATGTGTTATGGAAGTAGTGAATAATTTAAAACAGAGACGCTTAGCTCCTGACATGATTATTGGTCTTCTTCTTTCAGGAGTTTACAAAAGGCCGTCAGACTCAATATAAAATTCTCGAGTGATGGTGAGCAGGAAAATCACCGAATGCCCCGAAAACGTAGACATATGACATGTCAGTGTCCCTAAGAGAATACTCATTATTTACAGAAAACATATACCTGTCATTATATATGATAGATTAGGATTATTTAGAGAGCCATAGCACCCATAATGGGATTGCTAGATTACCATCAATCGCTTTTGAAGTCAATTATCCTTAACTGAGTTCATTCATTCAGCCTATCTCATAAGTAATTTAGCCCCCCCCTCCCAGAAGAAATAAAGAAATCCTGAGGTCTCTGAACCCATATTAAACTACTAACTTAGAATCCAACGCAGTCCCAAATAAATACTCTGATCTACTTCCTTCCTCTTGTTGCTTTATACAAGTGTTGTATTATAGGTATGCTGTCTTCTGACTGCGAATTTCTAGATGTGCCGATTCGGATCTGCCAGTTACCTTCCTATCTACAATTTCAAATGGGGACGAGGAAGTTACTTCAGAATTCATCTAATCAAAAACTTTATTTATCATGCCCAAACTTGTGGTGCTCACTGGATGAGCGTGCAGTTCAATCACGTAAACACCTTGGACTGCTGTATACATTTAAAGAAGTATAACCATTCTGTCCATTTGGGTTTCCTAGAGTTTTCCTAATCAGTTAGTGAATCCGCTGCTGAAACTAGTGAATATCAGTGTGCGTTTCGTCAACTGGCTGTATGACTATCCAGTAGTGAGATCACGAAATGTCAGGGTTTGTTCCACGTTGTTTAACTGGTCTATAATTTTAATGAGGGCGCTAGAACGTTTTACCCTCAGGTCACTTCCTTTATAACTCTTTATTGCTAATCTATGAAACAGCTTTAATTCTCATACACCTCTGTGTATAAATGGCCTTGCACTGTTGAGCGGAAAAGTTTATCAAATACTTTTACCCCTTTAAGGAGTTCAAGTGTTGAAAATGTGTAGGCCACTAAGAACATTACTAATGAACTTTAATAAGCGTAATATGGTAGTAATGAACAGCAGTAGTACATATGCCTTATGGCTTCTGGATGATTCCACTATTACATGTTTCCTTAGAGAGACCTATTGTCTACATGCGACGTTTTAGATAATTATTCCTCTGACTACTCTTTAAATAATAAACCATACCGTGTCGTGGTACTGCCATTTAAAACTTTGAGAATACCAACCACCCTAATGTAAAAAACTGTTTTCAGTGCTTAGCTAAAAACTAATCCAGAAAAAACCCCTTCAATCACATTTCCTTATTTCAATAATTATTTCCGTATTCTGCGACAACTTGAAAGAAGTGAACTCGAGTGCATTGTTATTAGGAAATAAACTTCAACATTGTGAACTAGAAGTGGAACCTGTGCAGCACAGAAGACTAAGGAAGAACATGATTGAGATTAACTAAGTGCTGGTTAATAATACGTTTCAATACCATACTACTCACAAACGATACCACTGTTTAGTTCTTATACCTAAATTTTCTTGAGAAAACTGATATAAACTACTATTAACTACACTCAGAACAACTTCAAAAATACATTGCGACAATGATCATTAAAATCGACTCCAACAAAAAATTAAGCGATACAAAGTTCATCGTGTCTCATCTCTCATCTTTGAACAGACTGCCGTACCATAACATCTGTAATACATATCCAGAACACATGGCCCCAATTCATACTGATAGAAATTCTTTCTTAAAGAAGTTCATTACAGTAGCTATCTAGAGACCAGCTAAAAGAAACGTTAATAAGTATTGTTGCGCCCAGATATTGCTCTCGTCAGTTAATGAAACACAGCACGACCCTAAATAGCAATACAACCAAATTCCAATTCAGGCACCAAAGTTTATTCATAAATTACAAGTAATTAACCCGAACATATTTATTGTTCTAATAGTAATCGTAACAATTACACAACAAACCTTCCATATTTAGGTTTCCGGAGCAAAACTTCCCAGATGCCAAACCGAAAACAGAGTGAAACCAAAGTAAAACAAATACATCCAAAACACGGTGGAATTATTAATATTCAATATAACAGTTCTTAGTCGATCAAATATTTTTAGCTGTTCTGTAACACTCTCGACCGAAAGAACAGTGCTGCTTTTTATAGGCGGATAAATTAGCAGTATTATTCTGGAGAATATGCATCGCATGCAATTAACAACAATCAAAAACAATCATTCAGAATACTATCAATTACGTGATCATTAAGACGTACACCAGTACATCTAGGGATTCGAGTAATTATCTACCATTTACAGTCTCAAGAAAACACTTTTCGAATGTCTCTTACTAAGATTTTTTTGTTTTCAACTTCGCCTGTCTTACCAGTCTATCCTTAGCAGGTGCCACTTTCTGTCCTATACCTAAAGGCCAGAACATGTCATTACCAAGTCACCCTCTCTCATACTCCTCTCTAATCGAGTCTATTAGTAGTTAACTTGCAACAAAGAAACATATTCCCTGGACCACCTCCTCCAGGATACTTGTGCCGAATAATTCGCTTGCTTCCACCTTTTAAAATACTCGTCATTAGATAGGGTATTACTAAATCATGTTATATTCTCTCGTAACAGTG